ATGGAGGGAGAAAAATATTCAAGGCTATCAAGATAGTATATTTATACAAAATTTTTACCAGCGTGGTACTCTATCCAGGGTTTACTTTACAGTCATAAGTCCACATCCATCTCTTGCGGCTTGACAGGCACGTTTTAATGCCTGTTCTTCAGTATCCGTCCATTTAACGGTGAGTTCATCCCAAGGCTTTCTGTTTCGGAACTCCTCATTGTAAGTTCTGCGCATAGCCTGTAGCCGTGTTACCTCTCGGGGGTCGCCAGTGCCTGAATATATAATGAAAAGCGTACATGGGGGTAGATGGTCCCATATCTCCTTTATACAAGAAACGGTTTTAGCAACAGCCCGTCCAAGTTCGTCTGGGTTTGCCGTGCTAATGATATCCTGATCTGATATATTGATAGATTGGTTATTTTGGCTTGCACCGGGAATGCGGTTGCACCATCCTCGGGAGATTTCCAGATTGCGCAGTCGTGCCCAAGTGAAGTCAACACCATCCCCCGAGACTATTCTGCCCGTCGGATCTCCGCTGACAGCAATCTTGGTTGATTTAACAACTTCTTCATCATTGGCGCAGCCTAGAGTGACACTGGCCTGGGCACCGAAACCGCGTTCAGGGCTGCCCCAATCGACCACTGCGCCTGTTCGTCCTCCTTGCGAGACGGGGCCGGAAGATTTTACTGGCCTTGAAGACCTGGCAAGGCGTTGGAAGATACTCTCGGTAGAAGCTTCGTTGGTACCCCACGCTTCACCCTTTTCGCATTTCTGCTTCACAAGATCTAATACTGCCTTTGCATCTTCAACCGGATCATGGCCAGCCATTCCCTTTTGTATTTCTCTTCCCAGGTACCTCTGACATAGCCATTTGAGACTCGGCTTCAGAGGCGGCCCTCGTGGATGGGGATATATAGAGGCTGTATCGATGATGAACGGATGCGTTAGTTTCAAGGCGTTGAGATCGGAGTTGAGAGAATGTCCAATTAATATCGAGCGAGGCGTCAGAATTTCAAGTAATTTTTGTTGTATGTCAGATAGATTCGTAGTAACTGGATCGAGCTTTTCTTTAGTAACACCAGAGAAGCGTGTTAAATAATCTATTATGGGATTTTCTGGCTTAACAAACTCATCTAGGACCCGTTCACCGTCCCATGAGACGAGACTAATTCTGGTGAGCTCAGATTTACCACCTTCAGTGATGCACATCTCACAGTCAAGAGCGAAAATATCGCGGCCAGCGGTTACGCTGCCTTCCGCTATATCACGATCAGGTACAGCACCTTGAGCAAAATCATCAACACGGGTATCCACCCATCCATGTTCAGTAGATTGCCCATTCATGGCGCGTAGTCGAGCATTTTTGTCTCTATCCTCAGCGGAACTGAAGAGTGCAGGGTGCAAGGGATATTCATGTTCGATCAGATCATCAAGAGTACTCAGAAATTGAGTAATGGGTGTCCGTTGAGATACCCAATTTCCGGGACCCTTGGACTTTTTGTTATTATTGTTGTTGTTTTCCTTAGATTTAGGCAAGGAAGATCTTAAGATCGCCTGAAGAGGCGAATGAACCTTGTTGTATTTTGAGTCCCCGGGAGACTTGACAGGCCAGACATGTGAAAACATGTCTGCAAGAGGGGATAAAGCTTCTGGCAACTTATCCTTATGGATAGCTCTGGGAGCAAACTGGCGGGAAGTTTCCTCACTGATGGGAGACACCCCACGTTTCCAGCGTTCAAACTCGCTGGATCTCTTTGCGTCTTGTCCAGATTGACTACCGTCAACTGGGGCAGCGGTTACCTCAGGGGTAGGTGTTTCTGCCCCCTTGGACAACGGGATTGATCCATCAAACATCCCCAGCTCCAGACCCGGAACCATAAGCATAACAACTTTCCTTACATGTCCAGAGTGCTTTACTGATATCCATTGCGGCGCAACAGCATCCGCAAGACAGTACAATAACAATCCCTGTAAGTCTGAAATTTTGATGGACGACTGTCTGCCACCCATTGCATATGTCAAAGTCGGATACTTTGTTTTCTCGTTTCCTATTCGTTTTCGCTTCTTCGACGTGTGGTCAACCATCTGCCACCCCCCAGTCTGGTCTTTTCCTTCTCCGCCTGAGGTATCCTTGGGCAAGGCTGGTTCTCGAGGTCCATTACCGTCACGAAGAAGAGATAGCGTATCTGCTAGGCCAAAGTCGTTGCCGCTATGACTGGTGGCAGCAATTACATCTGTGCCGCCTGGCTGCGCGTCGTCTGAAGCAACATGGTCATGTTTCCGCTTTCTTCCCATTTCAAGGCCTCCTAATCGTTAATGCTCCGCAGCGCCAGGGATAGCATGTGTGTACCGCAGCGTTTGAACTCTGGACAAGGGTCTTCTAGACACGTATCTCTCTCGCTGCGTCTGCGTCTGCGTCGTCGTCTCTTTGGCTTCTTCAAAAAGTCGCATCTGGAACGTCGAAAAGAGAAAAATTAAGAGAGAAAATGATGACTAAGTACAATGAGTAAGCATATATCACGTGTTAAATCTCCGCTTTTCTCTTTTTCTTTTTCTTTTCTTTTCTTTTGGCTTCAGTCGCGAAATTTGTACTTCTCCAAACACGAACTTCCAAACGCTTGAGCGGGATAAGCAACACGGCACGGCTGGTGGACTGGAATGAAGTATGGGATACTTGGATCCCTGCTCGGTGTCGATTGTCTGGAAGGGGCCCGTCCAGCGTGCCTATTTGGGTGCACTTCGGGCTAGGGGAACGCGGCCGTTCAAGGATATCATTACGAATGATAGCTACGCAAGCAGTCAAGCCACCATTGTTGAACGAGCCGGTGCAGCGGCGGAATCAAGATTCACTTTCGCTACCAGTGGTGATACCTGCCTCTGTTATCAGGAAGCAGGAGCTGCATGTGAAATTGAACAAAAGGACCCTTGAGCCAATTCCCGCGCTAAGGATGTCTTAGCTTGCATCTCTGCCTTGACGGTTGGCTGCGATGTCAGGGATGCGAAATGGCCGGTTCTCTTCCTCCTTTCTGGGATGCAAAGGCAAGCAGCATCAGTGGTCTCAATGCGAAATGCTGGGCTATTGGCCTGTACGGAAGATCCTGCATTCTCACAACTGGGGTTACCCCAAAACGTTGACATCTCCCAACCCCTCTTTGGTTGGACACCCTGCGCATGGACTGCGCATATCACGCGAAGGGAGTGGTTGGTAGTGTTGCACTACTGGACAATTGAACATGCCCTAGGTCCGTAACCACAACATGTCTATATAATTAACTGGTGTGTCGCGAAGATTCGCCGGATTGAAAAGGCCATGCCTGTTTTCACAGGGTACATCTAGACGATGCATGAATCTACGGAGTACATAGTATAACCTCTTATATATGCAGCGAAAGGCATTAGATCTCAGTTACATACAGGGATTATCGGCATTGTGCCCTCTCGAGAGGTCATCTCCCTACTCTGCCCTAATGGGCAAATTAGTCCATCGTGACCTAGGATGACTGCATTCACCCGTCCCAAGATAACATCGCTAATGGGTTGTACAACTTTAGATGAAATATACCGGGAAGAAATCTCAGCTTTCCTACTCTCCGCTCTTCTCGTAGATCGGTCCAATGGATTTCAGATGCTGGAGAATTTGAGCCATCCCGTGGGAGTCCGTGGGGAAGAACAAGCATTGGGTATTACCAGCCTGCCGCCTTAGAAGTGGCGCAAAACCCTGGTCCTGAGATAAACCTCATCCAGATGAGAGCTTGTCTTGTGAAACCTTCTGTTAATTTACGCGGATTGTTACTTGGTGTCCATCAGTGGCATTTTCGCTAAGCCTCCCGCCCATCAAAGAGTGAATCTTCTGTGGTTTTGGTAACGACAACAACAACCCTGCTGACCAGATGGCGAAACCACGGCAAATGCACATCGGCCGTATACTGCTAACTAACCAAGCTGGGGAGTCGATTCCCTATCAAATATAGGCGTCCCATCGATCAACAAGATCACGCAACCTATGTAAATATACACATACTGTTCTATTCATTACTAACAGAAAAGCAAGGTTTCCAGAAAGCTTCGGCATTTGACGCTAACCCTGGCTTTGCCTTACCTCTACGCGAGCCCGAGCCGTCCAGGGGTTCCTGCTATTTGCCTCCTTACTCGATGATTTAAGTTGTCGGGTGACCGCACCAAAGGTCCAAAGTACACCCCTGCGTATCTGGGGAAATAACCCTCAGGGATTAACCTCCAATCCTCCATTTTGTTGCCTTAGGCCTCGTTAGAAGACGCTGAGGTCAGACATAACGCAACACCAATTTACATTACCCATGTGTAACCGGTATATGGAGTGACAACGGCTTGCTTTCTCGTCTATTAGGCCCGTGGACTACGGGAACTCGCTGTTGAGCCATGTTGCCTACCTATCTAAGCACATATGCACACTCCAGGTTACCGGTACCAGGAGCATCGACGATCATCAAATACCCGCCCAGTATCTGACGATAAGAAAGTGGGAACATCTTGACTAGCTACGTTGCACCCACCTTCATATCATGGTTTGTGGGACAAAAACTGCATGCATGCTTTTTTGAGATGTCCTCCGCGGACCGCCACCCCTGTTGTGGACTCAAGAGCACATTTGGGGGAAATAAGGGACTGGGGGTTCGGACACGAGAACAGATGCGATGGCCAGCATGGTCTCTTTCAATTTGATCCTTTTTGTATTCTATATCCCCAGCATCTATGACCCCGCCTTTAATACTGCACTACCTATATTTGTGTTGGTCAGGTCTCTCCTAGCGCCATATACGATGCTTGAGGCTACATTAGGGTGATATCAAAGTACAGTGGTTGATATGAGGACGGTCCTAGGGTAGCAGTTGCAGCTTTCCTTTTCTACCCGAATATATGATACCCGCCTACCCTCCTCTGAACTCGACGGAGTGTTTAACATCTATGTCTCTCATTATTTCGTCATTTTCTTGCTACACCTCTCTCCTTCAGCCATTTACCTACTGAGAATGCCTTTAAACATTCCCTTCCTTCGGGAGAAGGCCTCTCCCACAGAAAATACTGTTGGGGAGCCCATTGATCATACTATAACTACGTCCTCTTCGGAAAAAGAAAATGCAAAGTCCACAGGGATAGAGATTTCCGATGTTGAAGCAAACAGGAGGTTAGACCTATACCATCGCACCCATAAATGGGACCCTAACCTCGGAGATGATACTCTTGATGAGATTGCAACTGCCACCGCATTAAACGACTCCAATGCGCAAAGTAAAGTCATTGATAGAGTTATCGATAACTCGCCCTACCCAGAGGTATGTCATTTATAGGCCAGCTTGGTCCTTTATTTGTTTCGAATCTAACATTGCCAAAGGTTAGGGCTGCTGTGCGAAACTACGATGAAGACCTTCCTGCAAGTACATTTCGCGCGTGGGCTATCGGAATGTTTTTGACGACTATTGGCTCTGGGCTCAACAGCTTGTTTTCCCTTTGGGCTCCGGCCATTATCATCACTTCGGTTGTCGCCCTACTTGTTTCATACCCCATTGGTGTAGCTTGGGCCAAAATAATACCGGCAAGGACTTTCAATATTTTTGGGTTGAAATGGAGCACCAACCCCGGTCCGTTCAATGTCAAGGAGCATGTATTGATTGTTGTCATGGCCAATGCGTCATTCGGTAACGGTGTTGCATACTTCACCGATACTATTCAGGCACTAAAAGCTTTCTATCACACTGACTACGGTGAGTTAATTATATCATGCTTCGAATACGATATATGTAGTACTAATACGGAACGTTTAACTAGGCTGGGGGTTTTACGTATGTCTTGCTCTTAGCACCCAAATCGTTGGTTTCGGAATAGCTGGTATTGTTCGCAAGGTCCTAGTTGAGCCAGGTATGTGAAGTAGAATTATCTATTATCTCTGGCAGACCTAGAGTTAACTCATCCCCAGCTTCCATGATTTGGCCACAGGACCTGGTCAGTGCTACATTCATCTACACCCTACACGATAAATCAGCAACCAATCCTGCCGAAACCAATGGATGGAAGATCGGTCGTTATCGATATTTCCTTTACGTTTTCTTGGGCTCTTTCTTTTGGTACTGGTTCCCAGGTGTAATTGCCCCGTGCTTAAGTGTTTTTGCTATTGTTACCTTTATAAAGCCGAAAAACGTTATCCTCAATCAACTATTTGGTGGCTGGACCGGCCTTTCACTCATTCCCATTACTTTTGACTGGACTCAGGTGACAGGTATGTGATAACTTTTACCTCATGCTTTCGACCATAAGCTAAATAATTTACTCCTCTAGGTTACATCCAAAGTCCTTTAATCGCCCCTTGGCATGCGATAGGAAACACTCTTATTGGAACCATTGGATTGTTCATCTTTGTTACTTGTGGACTGCACTATTCCAACCACTGGTATGCGCAGTACCTCCCTATCAGTGATTCAACCACATACGACAACATGGCAAAGCCGTATAATGTCTCGAGAATATTGAGTCCTGACTTCACTCTCGACGAGGAGAAATACAAGGTTAGACTACCCCGACTTTACTAAAATGCTTGATCTAACTATGACTAGGCGTACTCTCCCCTCTTCTTATCCACCACTTTCGCCCTGACTTATGGATTATCATTTGCCTCCATTGCAGCAGTCGTCACACACACAGCCCTATTCCACGGAAACCATATATGGTCAGTTATCAGGGACAGCCGAGGCGAATTGGACGATGTCCACACTCGTATGATGAGGAAATATAGAAATGCCCCCTGGTGGTGGTACGTGACCCTTCTCGCAGTTTGTGTTGCCCTATGCCTTGTTACCGCTCTTGCCTGGCCTACCCACCTCACCTGGTGGGCCTTACTACTTGCCCTTCTCATTTCTCTGGTCATGACTATCCCCATCGGTGTGGTTCAAGCTACGACAAATATCCAGTTGGGATTGAACGTTTTCACCGAATACATCATTGGCTATATGCTTCCTGGAAGGCCACTTGCCATGATGTTATTCAAGACATATGGTTACATCACCATGGTCCAAGCCCTTTCATTCGTACAGGATCTAAAGCTTGGTCATTACATGAAAGTTCCTCCACGATCATTGTTCTGGGGACAGCTTGTTGCTACTATGTGGTCGTGCATAGTTCAACTCTGTGTCCAGATCTGGGCTTTGGATAACATCGCCGATATTTGTCAGCCACACCAATCCAACCGGTTCACCTGCCCTCAGGGAAGAGTATTTTTTGGCGCATCTGTGATATGGGGTGTCATTGGCCCTGCACGTATGTTCTCTGGCAACGCACTCTACTCTAGCCTCCAGTATTTCTGGATCGTTGGTGCACTCAGCCCTTTGCTCTTCTATGCACTTGCCCGCATCTTCCCTCGTTCGAACGCACGATTTTTGAGCGCACCCGTCATCTTCGGAAGTGTACTATATATCCCTCCTGCCACTCCATTGAACTATGTAAGTCTTCACTCGAGTTATCTTAATGGAGGTGCTTATGCTAATATCATCAATAGTTTGCATGGTGTATGGTCGGCTTTGTTTTCCAGAAGTATATTCGCAATAGGTTCCGTGGCTGGTGGATGCGCTTCAATTACATCACATCTGCGTCCTTAGATGCAGGCTTGGCCATCTCGACCATCGTTGTCATCGCGGCTATCAATTTGACCGGCTCAAAGTTCCCATCTTGGTGGGGTAATACTGGTTCTATGGAGACGCTGGATAACTTGGGCGAGGCAATTCGGCAGCCTTTGGCCAAAGGCGAAACTTTTGGCCCTCCAACGTGGTAGCTAAGGGGTCGGTTAGATCCATCCAGACACCACCGATGTGATGTCTTGGAAAACTTTCCTATCGACTGTCACGCCCTTCAGGAGCAGGCTCTCCCGCTCTCTTTCATCCATGCTGCTTATTTGTTTTCTTTCCTGTCCAATTTGAACAGCGCATTTTGTATGTACCACCGAGAGATTCATGTAGTCGGGTTGATCTGATAAACCGGGATAAATTATTTTCCGATAAACTTTCACCAAAGAAAAATCAGATAACGCAATCCTTGAGAACCATAAAAATAAACCTCCAGAGTTGACAATTTATTTCAAAGCAGAGCAAGCCAAGAGAGAACAGTTCTGACACTCACACCTTAGCGACGAAGGTCGACCGGGAGAGCTGATCTGGATACTATTAGAAACAGATATCCTCTTACAACTAAAGACGGAGAAAGGATTATCTTGCTGCACCCATCCCACCTAAGAGCTTATCAGCGCGCGGGGCGAAATAGCATCATGTCGGAACTTCACGAAATCACTTCAGAGTCGGACTTTCAAACGCACGTATCGTCTCTACCCCCATCGACACTCCTTGTACTCTTCTTCCATACCCCATGGGCCGCCCCATGCACTCAGATGCGTACCGTTCTTCAAACGCTTGCCTCTCTATACAAACCCACCACCCCACCATCCATTTCCTTCATCAGTGTCGATGCTGAGGAGCTCGCCGAGATTTCAGAGCAGTACGAAGTAACAGCCGTTCCATTTGTGGTACTAAGCCGGAATAATAAAATCATTGAAAACATCTCCGGCTCGAACCCGATTAAAGTCCGCGAGGCAATTGAGAAGCATTACCAGGACCCATCTTCGGGTGCCGGTACGACAGACAAGCTATCTATTCCTCCACCACTTGAAGCCGTTCCGAGAAAGATAGATGAAACACAGCAAAATGATCAGATACCGCAAGCTCCACCATCTACAGGCCAAGGGACAAATGGAACCAGTGGTCGTGCGGCGGCTCCAGAGTCTTCGTCGAAGGAGGAACTCTTTGCTAGAATTGGGGAGCTTGTAAAGGCGGCTCCAGTGATGTTGTTTATGAAAGGCACCCCAAGTGTCCCTCAATGTGGATTCAGCCGGCAACTTGTTGCTATTCTGCGAGAGAATAGTGTCAAGTATGGCTTTTTCAATATCCTTGCCGACGACGATGTACGGCAGGGTCTCAAGGAGTTTGCGGACTGGCCTACGTTCCCACAGCTATGGGTGAGGGGTGAGCTTGTTGGTGGTCTGGACATTGTAAGATACTCTTTTTCTCTATCATACCGCTTCAGTGAAGTTTCGAAGTACTAATTATGCTTTCTCCACAGGTCAAGGAAGAAATAGAAGCCAACCCCGATTTCCTTCGTGATTACTCTGTTCCAAAGACATCCTCCGCAGTACCTACTTAGATACACCAGTTACGTTGAACATGTTCTACAATTATTTTCCCCTTTAAGCAGTTAGTTGTATGCGCGTCGTACAGTGTACTCAGAATCCATATTCACATTCCTCACATAATGGAAATTTAAATAAGTTTGGATATTAGCGTTGACTTGGCTTTTTGCTATCTTACATCAATTGCCAAAATTTTGAATAATTCTATAAAAATATACAGATCATACACTTCCAGAATAGGAAGACGAAGTAAACCCCATCATTATATATATCATTAGTATATATTAAGAGTCTTAAACTTAGAGACGGCCACATCGCTATCAATATAGCAACCGCGCAACCATCGATCCCCGCCACTTTCAGCATTTGCGTTACCAAATGCACGTCGAGCATGGACAACCCGTCGATTATGGAATATGACACATTCACCCGGTTTCATCTTGAGTTCAAAGATGTTCTTCTTATCCTCAAGCAAGGACTTAAAGCGTTTCATTGATTCGGCACGACGGGTATACGTGTTCTTAGGTAGCCCGTTACTGATGTCCCAAAAAGGCGCTTGGAACGGAGGGGAATAGTTTATATCTATGATCCTGTCCTTGGATTTACCAGATAGATTGATCATCTTCCGTGTGGCAGTGTACATCTGGTTGTCGTTGTCGTATCCAAAGGTCATCCAGGATTCAGCAAGAAAATCGAAGTCAGGTTTGCTTGTCTTGCGGAGAACGTCTGCAGCATAGAAACTATCTGCAAAGAGAGATTCACCTCCTGGCAGCTCATTTTTCATGCAATGAAGGAACTGAAGGCCAGGGGGCTGGACAAGGTACAGCAAATCCATATGGAAGCCAAGGTCGACATTAGTGTAGGCGACGTTCTTTGGGTTTGGGATATTTCGAACATCCCAAGTTGGGCCATAGAATGTATTTTTAATAGGGCCGATCTGAGTAGCGACTCTGGAAACGCTTTCCGTGTCCTCTGGTACGCCCCTTAAGAACAGTAAGCCATACCGGTTTAGTTGCATCATAGCTGACCGAAACACTTCAGGATTGTTCATGTAATCGTCATAGGAGATCCAATGGTTTGTCTTTTCAAATGCTGACTTGTCCCAGTAGTAGGCCGGGTCTGCAGGCTTGGAGCCCAACTGCACGGTTGTCAACTTTTGGAGGTAGCTTGTTGAAAACGTAGAAGTATGGCCTTCAAATCCTTTGATATCCTTCGCCCACTCAATTGTAAATGAGTCTTCACCAGCAGTGATGCTTTTTGCAGTAATATCCAATGGTATCTGGGCAGTTTCAAAAGTACGCTGCTTTGTGGATGGATGAATACAACGGTCACAAGGGCAGGAGTCCCGGAGATGCAACGGTTCGAAGTATACTATCTCTCCATTGACTTTGATTGGGATATGGGAGTTCATCTGGCGCCGGGAAACGGCAGAACTTGGAGAACTGCCCTCTGCCCTAGTCTTAGGTGTTCTCCCGCGCACGCTCTGAACGAAGCGAATGTAGTTCCCTTTGGTAGATGTCCGTCCATCCTTATTGGAAGCCAATTCTGCAGTTGCACCAGCATTCTCAGAGGCAATTGTAGAGGTATCACCAACTGATGTTGGCTTTGTGCCGTTATGGCTTGCTATATTGGACGCAGGCTTCTGGGTTTCTGCAGCTTCAGATACTGTGGAGTATTTTGATACATCCAGTGCTCGACGGGAGAATAATGCTGAAACCGGATCTGGCTGGCAAAACGCAGCTCTACTAGTCCTGCAGACGAGCCGCAACGCCCTTGAGCCGGCCACAAACATTGTCACTGAGCGTTGTTGTACTTTATTTGCTGTAGTTGGAGTTCGATGCTCGAAGTCTCGAAATGTATCTCTTTCCCGCGACGGAGAAAAGGAAAGCCTCGGCATTAAAAACTGCCTTACATAAGCAGAAGTAAATAAAGTAGTTCAAGCTCAACAAAAAGTTTCTGGGCGGACTTTCGTCTCAAGCAGGTTGTACGGGGCATTTTCACACTCGTTTTTGACTGTTCTGGCTCCTGATTTCATGTGAAAATCGGATCTTTGAGCCGCCTGTGTCTTAATTTTAGCGGATTTCCCCAGGTTGTGGCCCTTTTCTTGATGCTGTTTAATGAATGTCGGCGGGTGGTGAGCATTTAAAGGATGAGGTAGGCAATGCATCGCAACCTGTTTAACATGGCGCTCTGAGACTTCATCAGACTAATTGGGCCTTTTAACAGGGCAATCGAACTCAAGTGGTGGCCGCAGGTGCCATAGCCGGGCTCGTTTCGAGGTATTTGCACCGATGTGTTTAATCGCAGGAAGAGTGAAACTGATGCGACGGATACAAAATCTAGATTCTGCATCGCACCTCTAGATGTCGTGAAGATTCGGCTACAGCTGCAGATCCATTCCCTGTCTGATCCTCTATCACACCGTGATGTCAAGGGCCCAATATACAAGGGAACCATCTCGAGTCTTGTCGCAATAGCGCGGCAGGAAGGCATAACAGTACGTCGTCTCAACTGGCAATGCTCTTGCGCTTCCACGTTTCCGATACTAATAACCACACGCAGGGTCTCTGGAAAGGAAACATTCCCGCTGAAATCCTCTACATCTGTTATGGCGGAATCCAATTCACCGCGTATCGCAGTGTCACGCAACTTCTACACCTCCTGCCCCCGCAACACCGAGTCCCCAGCCCAGTTGAATCATTTATAAGCGGCGCCACGGCAGGCGGCGTAGCAACGGCTTCAACGTACCCGTTCGACCTGTTACGTACCCGCTTTGCAGCCCAGGGGAATAACAAAGTGTACAATTCCCTTGTGTCTTCTGTGCGAGATATATACCGCTATGAAGGAGCAGGCGGGTTCTTCCGTGGTGTTAGTGCGGCGGTCGCTCAAGTTGTTCCATACATGGGACTGTTTTTCGCTGCATATGAAGCGCTGAGGAAACCGATAAGTAGTGTTGATTTACCGTTTGGGTCAGGAGATGCTACAGCCGGTATGATTGCGAGTGTTATGGCGAAGACGGGCGTGTTTCCGCTGGATCTAGTTAGGAAGCGGTTGCAGGTTCAGGGACCCACGAGGTCGAAGTATGTGCATGTGAATATACCCGAGTATCATGGTGTGGCAAGCACTATCCAGACTATCGTGAGGACACAGGGTGTTAGGGGGTTGTATAGGGGATTGACGGTGAGTTTGATCAAGGCTGCCCCGGCAAGTGCTGTGACTATGTGGACGTATGAGAGGGTGATGGCGGTGTTGAAGGAACTGGATTCCGAGTAGTTCTACTGTATCAATAACTTTCTTGTGTCTTGCCTTAGGGAGGGTTAGATGCTGGCGTTTTGGGGCTATAAAGGTATGGGTTAATTATCAGGGCTCCTGCATATAGTTACAGGCTGAAAAATATCTTACTGCCTTTGTACATATCCAAATACTTAACTTGGCTTCACTACATAAAGGTGATGGTCGAAAAATAACTGATGGAATAGGTAAAGTATATTTATTAGTTGACGGATCCTTCAGTACGTCATGGTAAAACACTTAATGGCATACTCTGCATACTAAAGAAGGAATGCGCGACAGTCAAGGTGTCCGCATGGGTGTGATCTGCGTGCTGAGCAAAAAAGGGGCAAAAGGTATAGTGTTAATTGACAAAATTAAAATCAAGGATATGGGGACATTGACGCAGCATAACAGCAAGAAGTAGTAGGGTGGGATATCAATTCTCCATTCTCCTAATTATTTTCGTTTTTTAAAAAATTCAAAGGGTCCAGGAAGAAAGAGAGGGCAAAAACGAAGCAGAGATTGAGAGGGAGCATCTAGTACTCGGCACCCTCATCACCCTCAGTATCTAAGCTGTCGCTGGCAACTTCCTCGTAATCCTTCTCCAAAGCAGCGAGATCCTCACGGGCCTCAGAGAATTCACCTTCCTCCATACCCTCACCAACGTACCAGTGAACGAAGGCACGCTTGGAGTACATGAGGTCGAACTTGTGGTCGAGACGGTTCCAGGCCTCGGCAATGGCAGTGGTGTTGGACAGCATGCTGAGGGAGCGGTCGACGGGAGCAAGCTCGCCGCCAGGAACACGCATTGGCTTCTGGTAGTTGATTCCGAGCTTGAATCCAGTTGGGCACCATTCAACAAGGTTGAAGGAGGCCTTGGACTTGAGAGCGGCAACGGCAGCAGTGCAGTCGCGTGGAACGACATCACCACGGTACAGAAGGGCAACAGCCATGTACTTTCCGTTGCGTGGGTCACAGACGACCATCTGGTTGTTTGGCTCGAAGCCTGTATAGACATGTTAGCACTGTTGACAAAAGGGCAGACAAGCAGCAGAAGAAATAAGATACGCACATTGGAAGGTAAGGTCATGGACCTTGAAGGACTCGTGGGAGCTTCGGTTGCTGGAGACAACAGGAGCGTAGCTGATCAATGGGTAGTGGATACGTGGGTAGGGCACCAAGTTGGTCTGGAACTCGTTGAGATCGACGTTGAGAGCACCATCGAATCGGAGAGAGGAGGTGATGGAGCTGACAACCTGAGCGATCAAACGGTTGAGATGCTCGTATCCTGGACGGGGGATGTCAAGGTTACGGTGGCAGATGTCGTAGACTGCCTCGTTGTCGACCAAGAAGGTACAGTCAGAGTTCTCAATGGTGCTGTGGGTGGAGAGAACGGCGTTGTATGGCTCAACAACGGCGGTAGAGACACGTGGAGCTGGGTAGACAGCGAATTCCAGCTTGGACTTCTTTCCGTAGTCGGTGGAGAGACGCTCAAGGAGGAGAGCACCGAAACCAGAACCGGTACCGCCACCGAAGGAGTGGAAGATCAAGAATCCCTGGAGAGCAGAGCAGTTGTCTGCATTCGTTGTGATGCACTGTTTAGCACGGACCAATCACACGCGAGGGAGGGGTTAAAATCTCACCAGCAACACGACGAATGCGGTCAATGACATTGTCGACGAGCTCCTTTCCGATGGTGTAGTGACCACGGGCATCTGTTTCCAGTTAGTATCCAGTATTGGCTGAGAGATTGGCGTTGATACGTACAGTTGTTAGCGGCATCCTCCTTTCCGCTGATCAACATCTCAGGGTGGAAGAGCTGGCGGTAAGGACCAGTTCGGATCTCGTCAATTGGCTGTTATACCTGGTCAGTCAAGAGTCCAATGGCATAGTATTGACCGCCACAGTACGTACAGAAGGGTCAAGGTCGACGAAGATGGAGCGAGGGACATATTTGTTGTCCCTAGTCTCGGTGAAGAAAGTCTCGAAGGAGCCTGGCTCGCCGATATCAGTGGCCTCGGGGTCGAGACGGCCATCAGCCTTCAAACCGTGCTCGAGGAGGTACCTGAACGCGTCTCTCGTCAGTCTCCTTCATTCCATGCATGCAGAACCGTCTCTCCATCGTCCTCTCCTCTCGCTATCGAGGCGAGCTGGAGTCGTATTCTTTTTTTCTGCCCAATTTCCCAATCGGGAGGGGGTAACGAAAGGCGGTGAACCTACAACTCCCAAGCACTGTTACCGAGCTGAGTGCCAGCCTGGCCGATGTGAAGATGGCAGACCTAATTGACGAGACAGCAGACAGTTAGCATGAAGCCGGAGCAGGTAGACAGGTGTCTGTTGAGGGTCTCGTAACGGGGGGACCGTGGACTCGGCTTGGGCAGCCAGAAGTTGGTCTGTGTTTGGGAGCTTTGGGGGGGTCAGGGGTTCCCGTGAACAACAAACGAGCAGACCACGTACCTCGCCTCTCATGGTGACTGTAGGATGGTGATGACGACTGGAGGGGGGAAATTAGAGAAAGGGAGAAAGGAGGGAGAGAGTCTCGTGTGTTGACAGAAGTCTTGTTGTGAAGACGGAGATGTCGAAGAGGAAGAGGAAGAGAAGAGAAAGTCGAGCGCTTTCTTCTTCCCCTGCGACTTTCGCCCTTTCGACGGATCGACGTGTGCGCGCTAGTTCCCAATCCGGTTTGGGCGCTTTTCTCCCCCGTAAACAAGCTGACTAAGACTGCCTCCTTTCTCGCTGTGCTGTGCTCCCTCTCCGCCGCCCTCTGCCTCCCGCCGGTTCTACCGTTCTACTGTTCTGTCAAGGTGCAGGAGGCGATTACAAGTCGAGTGGTTATGCATAAACTGCTGCATGCGCTGCTTCAACAACGGCCTTGTTCTGTTTACTCGGCGGACGCGGGTCCTCTCCATCCATGGCTCGCGGGTCACGTGGTCCGTTGCTCAAAATATAGGTTGAACCCCTTTTTTTTCAGGGGAAAGACGTTAAGAGATAGGTCTAGTTATGTGACTTGAGACATTACATTATTTCTTTGGAACAAGCATTGAGGAGGGTACTCCGTACTGAGTACGGTTTAACAAGAGAAACAGTAGGGCCCTGTGGGTAGGTTAAAACCGTGGGATTGTGTTCCTTGCGATGGAAATATCAAGGTTTAGGTTCGCTCAGGGGCTCATCAGTCTCAACGCTTTCACTTTAGTCGTCTTCTCTTCTTCGTACTCCGTTTACCTTAGTCGAACGCATACCATCGTAAAGCTCTTTCAAGCAGTGTTAAGCATGGGGTTAATAAGGCCCATACCTCGACGAACATGCATAAAACACACGATAAGTCACCAGATGAGTGTCTGGTGAGAGATGTTGATTATATAATGGATAGAAGTTCAATAAAACGAATCAAAAGCTGTTGGTTATAAAATAATAGGCTCTTCCCTTTTTTTATTGGCCAATTGACGTTAAGCATCGTCTGATTCGTTATTATTATTTAAATGCTGACTAATAACTTAATTTCTTTCCAACCAAGATGGCCTGCAAAAAGCATTCATACCAGCGTCTCACTAGCACGGTGATGGAGAAATATTAAAGCGCCGTACTTATTAAAGAGCCTTATTATCCAACGACTTGAGGTGGTATCATGTCTCAACAAAGACCTACTGTCCTTCATGTATAGTTATAACGTGTGATATTGCATGTGGACTCTCTAGAGGCTCTGAGGTGAGCCATATCTCGCCTTCCGCCAGGTCTAACCTGCTGACTAGCGGCACAAGAATAGAATCCTATTATGGTTTCCCTTACCAACTGCCTTGCCAGCCAAAGCCATTATCGACATTAACTTGGTAGAATACGTTTGATGAGCCAAAGTTGGACAGCCACTGTGTCAAAGAAGGTTCTCTTGATTAACCAACGTGGTCAGTGCACAAAGCTCTAGATTTGTCTATGGAGAAGACGCTGGAATTATCGACCATTAACCATGTTCTGAAACAGGCATAGAGCTAGCGCTGAGGTTTGCCTATATTAACAATCATACCCCATCAGCTTGTGCTCAATACCTTGTCCAAACCGCTCCCAAGTCCCTATATCCTGCAGGAATGGCTCTAGAGCATACGGAGAAATAATGGAGCTATTTTATAAATACCTCTAGGCAAAGCGATGTTACAAGTAACTACGATGTATATAGCATTTGATTTGCGGCAGGCCGGGCTGGTGAATTCCAAATCTCCCGCTCCTTCATCTCCTGAATTTCGGCTAAGCTTGGGCGCATGGTGACACAGGTTGGGTAGCATTTACCAAGGACCCGGCTCCGGAGCCCCTGGTGTTAGGTCTAGAACTCTCCACGGAATAGACGATGTTACAGCTACTGTAGCGACTGAGTAACTTTGTTGAACCCGAGTATAGGAATTTCTGCTATTCGAAAAATCAGCTGGCCTCAAGACTGTGTCGAATATGCACGGCGGTCAAATTTGTATCCAATGGTCCTTCCTGCGCCTGCGTACCCTGTTGCGTCCAGACTTCCTTCGTACATGCCAGAGAAAAGAAGACCAGCAACCACAGAGAGGATATGCTTAAACTGTAACTGCGTCACTAGTTGGCGGTCGAGGATGAGGCTCTTTTTGCCTCTTTCGGCTCTAAGCGACATCCGCGGCTGAGCCGCTCCCAGCTGGCCAACCTTAATACCTTAAAAGAAAGACGTCTTCTTATCCTGAGAGGAACACGAAGAGGAAGATGAAGAAGAAAGAAAACGAAAAGCTACTTACAAACCTACAAGACCCGACAAAGGCGATCGAGTTTACGCAGTGGGAGGGTGACATCGAAGAAGGTTAACCGTCGGTTCCACCAGTTATGGAGACTGTGCAGCAGGGCTAGAATCCTAGCATCGCACAGCATCTCCTCGGTTTTTGGGGCCGTCAATCCTGATGCAGTTGTCGTAGTTTGCTTGGCTGTTCATGTGCATGCTGCTCTGACTCGTCCGCCGTCTCCGATCCATGACACAAGGTTGAGTCCTTGTCTACAATAACAACAATTCAGTGTGATAAGATCGCCCTGTCTTTGCCACACTGGACAGCTCTAACACCGTCAGGGCACCTTGTCCGAGACTGTCTTCGACGCGATGGGGGAGAAAACAGGAGATTTATACGCCATAGCCAACGGGGCTCTGGCTAGGCCGCTCTATATATAACAGCTTCTACCCTTGGGCATTGGTAGCAGTGGGCTTCCGAGGGCAGCTTTCGAGAGTTTTTGCCCCTGGTGCCCGCTGTCAGTGGGAACGTTGATAAGTGGTGGGGTCGCGCCAAGGGGCCTGGGTGGTTATTTGTTCCCTTTTTTTTCCTCTTTGATGACGAGAGCTCCCAGTCGTCATTCACTCCATCGGGTGGGAAAACGCCCGTATTAATATGTCGGTAGATCCGCTGCAGGTAATGAGGCCGGTTTCTTCCAAGATTCTTCAGGTTCTATTCAGTTCGATTTCTCTCCCACGTCTCCGCGGATCGCTGGCGGTTCTCGACTCATCGCTGTTGCGACACACTCCTCCGTAATCCCGTGGGAGGTCGAGACACACTCAAGAACAGGAATCTCGCCATCGATTCAATTCCTGCTGCTGGAGTATATAGATACAAGCGAGAAATGTGTCTTGCTCGCTAGAAAGAGGACAAAGACCACGACTTGATACGAGATGTCGACCCCAATTTACGAGGGCGCCCAGCCCAAGTACAATACAGGAACCGCATCCGACGACCAGCCTGGAGAGGCAGAAGCTGGCCAACAGTACAACTTCCCCGTCGAAGAAGATATGGTGGATGATCAGGGAAACCGGGTGCAGATGCTTGTTGAACCTCCAGGAAATGACGAGCATGGGCTTCTACACACTACTCCCTCGCAGGATCGAGAAAGGGCCAATCGTCTAAACGATGATATCACCATGCTGCAGGCAGAGCGCATGGTGTCCGATGCAGAAGCTCCAGACAGAGAAATGTCGCTCTCCATTCGGCCTGCCCGCTCTCACCGGACGGAGCCCGTGGATGAGTTTGACACGGCTACGAACCCCATCCACGAACATGCCTCGCTCTACAAACCACCAGAGAATCCTACAACCTCCGTCGCTCGTTTCTTCAAGAAGGTCCACGAGTCAAGCTTTCTCGTCCGCTATTTCACCTACATCATCCCGCTAGTGCTCATCTTACTCATTCCACTGTTGCTCGGCGCCTTTGTCTTCAAGGATGCCACCGTTGGTGGCGTCAGCCTCCTCTGGTTCTCAGTCTGGCTGGAGATTGTCTGGCTCACTCTCTGGGCGGGTAGAATTGTCGCCAAATTCCTCCAATACCCCGTGGCCATCATCGCCAGTTTGTTCACCAATAACTCGAAGAAGTGGCGGGATCTGTCCGCTCAATTGGAATTGCCAGCTTCGCTGTTCTTCTGGTGGTTAAGTATAGAAATCTCATTTCTACCAACAATGATAACCCACCATGTTGATGGGGATCGCACAGTTAAAAAGTGGGAGGTGATCGTGAACAAGATCATCATCTCGATCTTCGTGGGCATGACGCTGAATCTTATCGAGAAGCTGATAATCCAGCTTATCGCTATCAGCTTTCACTTGCGAACATACGCAGACCGAATTGAAATCAACAAGTTTCAGATCGGCAGTCTGGCCAAGCTGTATGCCTATTCCAGGGAACACACGACTATGAACGACTCGGATCTGGAAGAGAAGTCTGAAAAGCGCAGTTCAGGGAATAGAACTCCCATGATGTATGCTGACCGAGCCCAGAGAGTTGCTCGCGGAGCCCTCAGTAAAGTCGGAGACGTTGCCGGGGCGGTTGCAGGCGACTTTACCGGTAGACGTGTCAATTCAAGCAGGGATCCTCATCAGGTAGTCCTGACTCTACTTCGTTCGACTACTGGAAGTCAAGTACTAGCCCGTCGTTTATACCGCACCTTTGTTAAAGATGGCTTCGATACTGTTTTCGCAGGGGACCTCAAGTCAGCATTCGATAACAACGACGAAGCTGATGCTGCCTTCCAGATGTTTGATAGGGACATGAATGGTGACATCTCAATGGAGGAGCTTGAAGCTGTTTGCACCGAGACTGGAAAGGAGCGAAAATCTATCACTGCATCTCTCAAGGATCTAGACTCTGTCGTCTCCAAGCTTGATGACGTATTTTTCTTTATCGTTGTTGTCATCACTATCTTGGTTTTCCTATCCCTCATCTCAGCGTCGACCGCTGGAGTCCTTACATCTGCTGGATCAACTTTGTTAGCTCTCTCCTGGCTCTTTTCTGCTACAGCTCAGGAGTTCCTACAGAGTATCATTTTTGTGTTCGTCAAGCATCCTTTCGATGTTGGTGATCGAGTCTCTATTTACGGTAATACCGGTGCAAATCTCACGGGAGACGATTACTTCGTTAAGGAAATTGCTCTTCTGTATACGGAATTCAAGAAGATGCAAGGCCATGTTGTCCAAGCTCCAAACAGCTATCTGAATACTCTCTTCATTCTCAACCAGAGACGTAGCGGTGGCCTTGCCGAAGCTGTCCCAGTTGTAATCAAATATGGCACCACGCTTGAGCAGATCGATGCCCTACGGCAGAAGCTTCTGGATTTCGTGACATCGGAGAAGCGCGAGTTCCAGACCCAGGTGTTGACTGAACTTAAGGAGGTGACGGAGAACTACTCTATCACGCTCAACGTGGTCTTCTTCTACAAATCAAACTGGCAGAATGAACTCCTTCGTCTGCAGCGCCGTAACAAATTCATTTGCAACTTGATGATCTGTCTACAGGAACTCAACATTGAAGGACCACGCATGAACCTTGTCGGATACCGATCTGATCTTCCAGCTCATATCGCCCATCAAGGTGCTCCACCACAGTATACAACCACTCCTACTTATGGTGCCAACACCCCTGGAGGGATGACCGATGTATCGCAGACTTCAGAAGCACGCGATGCACTGGGTGATCTAGCTTCGTCCTCGGCTGTACAGCCTCCACATCATACCCAGTCTATCCTTCGACACCGTGACCGATCTGGGACAACGGCCTCAAATCGATCCCAGACCAGTACTCACAAACGAGTCGACTTTTCCCTCGGTATGAAAGCCTTGAGCTCAGACGACATGATATCAGATGTGTACTGGGACCGTGGCCATCGTGTAGAGGATATTGTACGCTCTACTAACCTCGAAGCCGCTGAACGCCGCCAGCAAGAAAAGGATTATCAAGAGCGAGCCAATGCACCTCTGGAAAGGAGCCCAACTAACCTGAGAAGCTCAAACGACTCCCATCGGCCCAACTTTTCCCAGTCAAGAGGCAGTGTCTCTTCGTCCGTCTACCGGAGCCGGTTTTTCGGTCGCATGGGAAGCGGTAGAGGAACACCGTCACGAAGTCGAACGCGTGATGGAGGAGGCCGGTACGAAGACCTGGAACAAGGACGATACCACGCTTCCGTAGCCGATGAGGAGTCTGGCCCGGCTTCAGACCCAACCCCAGCGCCAGCTCCCCCAGCTCCTGGCCCAGACCAACCTCGAAATCTTGACCCACGTTCCGGCAGCGTGGACACCCAGGGAATGTACGAAGACGGCCAGACTCAGGGAACTATGTGGTCCCCTGGCGTCGAGCGACACCCAACCCACGGCTCTGAGCGGCCACTGGACGAAAGTTACGAACTGCCTAATTATCAGCGACAATAAGGCAAAGATTTCTCTTTCACTGCTACTTATTGATATCTTGCTTTTTTTGATTTTTTGTCTTCCCCTTCATGCACATACCGTTTCTACCTCATGCGGCCCGGAAGCCCGGCAGCTAACTAGAAGCTCCCCTCGTGTTGCCCTCCCTCCTTCGAACCTTTCAAAACCTGCTTCGTACTCGCTCTCACCTTTAGCACGTTGGATTTCCAAGCGTCTTTCCAAATGTTCAATAAAATATTAGCAGCTAGCCACTATAGCAATAGATTCCCATTACAGCTTATGCAGGATGAGCTGAAACATCCAATGACTGACCCTAGTTAACTAAGTACACCCCTCCACGATTCTCCGCTACATGTCTCAGCTGCATGTATGCATACGTCCCGTACCGCACTTTCCGCCCTACCGTCTATGTAACATTGTTCATGGGTGCCTGCCTGTCAGCCATGATCAATAGGGAGGCTCTTATTGTTTTTGCCTGCTCGACAGCTCAAGCCCATAAAGTCTATTACCGCCAAGCCTCCCGAACAATGGAAGTTTTTTTTTAATTGGCCAGAATAACCGCCAGCGCAATAACCGATAACTCCCGCTCGGCTAAAAAGGAACATATTTACCAGGAGCTGATACAGCTGTTGGAGATTGATTACCTATCAGAATGAGTGCGCATTTCAGAGTAAATCCTTCCGTACTCTGTCACTCGCAATAGTGATTGATGAAGTAGTTACATACATTATCTAGACCCAGCCTGCAAAATTGTCAACAAAGGTACATACAAACACTGCGTCAGTCTCGTCTGATCAAGTGGCCAGCACAACATGACTCGGTTGTACGACGCTACGTCTCATCCCTTACGTCAAGCCGCCTGTCAAGCCGCCTGCCAACCTGCCTGCTCGGATCCCTGATGCCTCGGTCCGTCTTGCATCCGCTACGCCAAGCCGGAACGGAGCGTTTCTTCTGCTTAATCAGCTGTATTGGAGCGTGTAATATTGCTGTATACGATACATACGATACGGCGGGTAGCGAAAAGCCGCTTCCGTTCTCCTCCTGCACGGACGAAACTCCGTCCATCCGCTCCATCTGCAACCCCTTTTCGCTATCGCTTGACTCAGCTCAGAGCCGAGGGAGAGACACCGACAGAGACGCCGTGCGCTGTATGGGGCACTTGGCTTGGTGTCCCAAAAAATGGGGATCGTGGTTAGTCTCGTCTATTGTGCGATATCAGCCTGCTGGCATGCCATGCAGGACAACCATGTGCTTTATGGTGCACAAAGTCAATGATACTTACAATGAAGTTATGTATCTGCACGGGCCGTGCCTTGTGTGGTAGATTTACATGTCATATCTCACTTTTCTGCTGCTGGACAGCGCGTACATCCTGACACCACTACTACAGGCATTCGTCTGACACTCGGACTCGGTCTGGGACGCCTAAGAGGTCGCCACAGGCCAAAACTTTGCTCCTGGCCTCCACACAAGCAAAGATGCCCTTGGTCGCCTATCGGATATGGCTGTTTTCCGGCTTCCGTGCTTGCAACAGTCGTTCGATGGCATATGATTGGGCCCTGAACATACGCTGGTTGGTCAGGGTCCTGAGATCGCAGCTATACCATTCGGGGCAATCATCCCGGAACGCGGATAAGCATCGGTTCCAACGTCGAGGAACGGTATGGGGTACTCAGTCCGCGTTGTCTTTTTATTTCTTCCTTACTTTTCATACTTTTCATCATCTTCTATTTCTTCCTCCTCCTCCTTCCTTCAAGCAGTTCTCGTGGGTTTAGATCTTTGTTGTTTTTCCTTTTTACACCGGTGGTCGTCTCTTCCGGGTATATCTTATCAATACCTAATAATATAAACCCTTATCAACTTTTAATCCTGATTCTTGTACCTCACTGCATGTTTATCTCCCTTTGACCAAAGTGCTAGACATTCGTTTGAGGCATAGGGGAAAAAATCAGCATCAATACATACCCATTACCCAATCACGCCCATGATACACACCGATTAAGATAGTCGCCCATACTTCGCCAGCATAGGAGGTGCTATCGTCCATAGAGATCAGCAGCATGGCTCCGACAGAGGAAGCCAATGTTACTAAACCCACAGGGGAGCTCAGACCGGACGAGAAATTGAATTATGAAGAAGATGTTAAATGCAGCGGGTCGAGCTCGACGACAGTTGGAAAGACTGCTTATGATACCGATGATATCAGTCAATCACAGGCCGCTGAGCTGCAGGACCTAGCCCGCCAACTCTCCAGAGCCTCTCGTCAGGGTGGTCTAGATGTTGAGAATGAACCTCAGCAGGTTATCAATCCGTTCCTGGACTCGGAGTCGGATCCTGAGCTGAACCCGGATAGCAAGAGTTTCAATGTAGCCAAGTGGCTCAAGACTATCCTCCAGATTACATCAAGGGACCCGGAGAGGTTTCCCAAGCGCACTGCGGGTGTGTCGTTCCGGAATATGAACGTTCATGGCTATGGAACTGCAGCCGATTATCAGAGTGATGTTGGGAATCTTCCTCTTAAGGCATGGAGCGGTATCATGAGTATGCTTGGGCTACGGAAGAAGGTCCGTATAGATATTCTGAGAGACTTTGAAGGTCTTGTCAAGAGTGGCGAGATGCTCGTTGTCTTAGGACGTCCTGGAAGGTATGCATATTCTATTTCTATTCGTTTGTTGGCACTGCTTAACATTCATATAGTGGTTGTTCGACTCTTCTTCGGACTCTATCTGGTGAGACTCATGGTCTCTACCTTGACGAAGGCAACGATATCCAGTATCAGGGTATCTCCTGGGAGCAGATGCACAAGAACTTCAGGGGAGAAGTCATCTACCAGGCTGAAACTGAAACTCATTTCCCCCAGATGACCGTGGGAGATACCCTTTACTTTGCTGCTCGCGCCAGAGCTCCAGCAAACAGACTGCCAGGCGTCTCCCGAGAGCAATATGCTATTCATATGCGCAGCATGGTCATGTCAATGCTTAGCCTGTCGCATACCATCAATACCCAGGTCGGCAACGAGTATATCCGTGGTGTATCTGGAGGTGAGAGGAAGCGAATCAGTATTGCAGAGACAACCCTTAGCGGAAGTCCTCTACAGTGCTGGGACAACAGCACCAGAGGCCTTGACAGTGCCAATGCCCTTGAATTTGTCAAATCGCTCCGCCTGTCTACTAAATACTCTGGAACCACTGCCATCGTTGCCATCTACCAGGCTGGTCAAGCAATCTACGACGTGAGTTCTGCTCGTTTTCTTTTGAGGAATGCTAGTAGCAGCTAACACCTTCTATAGATCTTTGACAAAGCGGTTGTTCTATACGAGGGACATCAGATCTACTTTGGAAACGCTGTCCGAGCAAAAGAATACTTCATCGAGATGGGCTTTGACTGTCCTAGCCGACAGACTACTGCTGATTTCTTAACTTCGGTCACCAGTCCGTCAGAACGAAGAGTCAGGCCTGGCTACGAGTCTCGTGTACCCCAGACACCGGCCGAATTTGCTCAGCGATGGAAAGAAAGTGAAGACAGACGAATTCTCATGCAGGAGATTGATGAATACAATAAGACCTACCCGCTACATGGTGAACAGCTGCAGAAATTCCAAGCCTCTCGGTTAGCTGAAAAGTCCAGGTCAACCAGCAAGTCCTCGCCGTATACCCTCTCTTACCCCATGGAGATCAAACTTTGCATGTGGCGTGGATTTCAGAGACTGAAGGGAGACATGTCCATGACTCTGACCTCCATCATTGGAAACATCGCCATGTCCCTGATCATTGCCAGTGTTTTCTATAACCAGCAAGAAACCACTGACAGCTTCTTCTCCCGTGGCTCTCTCCTTTTCTTTGCCATTCTCATGAACGCCTTTGCTAGTTCCCTGGAAATTTTGACTCTCTGGCATCAACGGCCCATTGTGGAAAAACATGATAAATACGCTTTATATCATCCATCCTCCGAAGCCATCAGTTCTATTCTCGTCGATATGCCTGCAAAATTAGCCGTGGCCATCGTGTTCAATCTGATCATATATTTTATGACCAACCTAAGGAGAACGCCCGGTCACTTCTTTATCTTCTTCCTCTTCTCCTTCACCACGACCCTGACTATGTCTAACGTTTTCCGTTCCATTGCTGCCGTGTCTCGTACCTTATCCCAAGCTTTGGTTCCTACCTCAATCTTTATGCTTGCCTTGGTTATCTACACTGGTTTTACCATTCCAGTTCGTGATATGCGACCCTGGTTCAAGTGGATCAGTTACATAAACCCCATCCAGTACGCGTTTGAATCTCTCATGATCAACGAGTTTCATGACCGAGAGTTTAAATGTGCTGTCTATATACCCAGTGGTCCCGGATACTCCAATGTATCAGGAACATCCAAAATCTGCGCAGCCAAGGGAGCAATGGCTGGAAAGCCAACCGTCAGCGGTGATGTCTTCCTCCGGGAAACGTATTCATACTACGCTTCTCACATGTGGAGGAATTACGGTATCATAGTTGCTTTCTTCCTCTTCTTCCTTTTCGTCTACATCACTGCCACCGAACTCGTCTCTGCTAAGCCCTCAAAGGGAGAGATTCTTGTCTTTCCCAAGGGCAAAGTTCCAGCATTTTTAAAGCAGTCTAAGAAAAAGCAAGACCCCGAAGCTGCATCCACACAAGAAAAGCAGCCAGTAGAAACTTCTGGCCATGATCAAACTGCTGCCATTGTGAAGCAAACATCTGTATTCCATTGGGAGAGTGTGTGCTACGATATCAAGATCAAAAAGGAGAGCAGACGTATCCTGGACAATGTCGATGGATGGGTCAAGCCTGGTACTCTTACTGCCTTGATGGGGGTGTCTGGAGCCGGAAAAACGACTCTCTTGGACGTCCTTGCAAACCGAGTTACTATGGGTGTTGTCACTGGTGAAATGCTCGTTGACGGTCGTCTCCGTGATGATTCTTTCCAGCGTAAGACCGGATATGTTCAGCAACAAGACCTTCACTTGGAAATCAGCACTGTTAGAGAAGCATTAACATTCAGTGCCTTGCTCCGTCAACCCAACACTACCCCATATGAGGAGAAGGTTGCCTACGTCGAGGAAGTTATCAAGATGTTGGGAATGGAAGAATACGCCAATGCCGTCGTCGGTGTCCTAGGCGAGGGTCTTAACGTTGAACAGCGCAAGCGCCTCACAATCGGTGTTGAAATTGCGGCTAAGCCCGACCTGTTGCTCTTCTTCGATGAACCTACCTCCGGACTTGACAGTCAAACAGCCTGGTCAATCTGTACCCTGATGAGAAAGCTTGCTGACCACGGACAAGCCGTCTTGTGTACTATTCATCAGCCCTCTGCCATGTTGATGCAAGAGTTTGATCGACTCCTGTTTCTGGCTTCTGGCGGACGAACCGTTTACTTTGGTGAACTAGGAAAACATATGTCTACTCTCATCGAATACTTCGAGAGTAAGGGGGCCCCCAAATGCCCTCCAGACGCAAACCCTGCCGAATGGATGTTAGAAGTCATTGGTGCCGCTCCTGGCTCAAAGACCGACATAGATTGGCCGGCCGTTTGGAGGGACAGTGCAGAGCGTGTCGAAGTTCGTCGTCATCTTGCAGAACTAAAGTCAGAGCTCTCCCAGAAGCCCCAGACTCCTCGGTTGACCGGATACGGTGAATTTGCTATGCCCTTGTGGAAGCAATATCTCATTGTCCAGCACCGTATGTTCCAGCAGTACTGGCGTAGTCCTGACTACATCTACTCTAAAGCCTGTCTTGCCATTGTTCCGGTATGCTAAAACTCCCTTTCCCTTGGTTATACTAGTTTGATCGCTAACATATCCTTATAGACCCTATTCATTGGTTTTACCTTCTACAAGGAACAAGTCAGTTTGCAAGGTATCCAGAACCAAATGTTCGCCATTTTCATGTTCATGATTCTTTTCCCCAATCTTGTACAGCAAATGATGCCATACTTTGTCATCCAACGATCTCTTTACGAAGTCCGCGAACGACCCTCAAAAACATACTCCTGGATAGCATTTATGATATCATCAGTCGTTGTGGAAATACCCTGGAATGCCCTCCTGACTGTCCCCGCCTTCTTCTGCTGGTATTACCCAATTGGCTTCTATAAGAACGCAATCCCAACTGACGCCGTGACTGAACGGAGTGGCACCATGTTCTTGCTTATCCTGATCTTCCTCATGTTCAGTTCAACATTCAGCTCCATGGTTATTGCCGGTATCGAGCAAGCGGAAACAGGTGGAAACATCGCCCAGCTTTGTTTCTCCCTCACCCTCGTCTTCTGCGGTGTCCTCGTTAGTCCAACCGCCATGCCCGGATTCTGGATCTTCATGTACCGCTTATCTCCATTCACATACTTCGTTTCAGCCGTATTATCTACTGGAGTCGGAAGAACAGATATTGTGTGCGCTGCCAACGAGATTCTTCGTCTTACCCCGGCTGCAGGACAAACGTGCATGGAATACCTGGGTCCTTATACTAAATTTGCTGGAGGCCGGATTCTCACCCCTGATGCTACCGACATGTGCGAATTCTGCGCTGTTGCCGACACGGACACCTTCCTGAAGGGGGTTAACATCATCTTTGATGAACGCTGGAGAAACATCGGCATATTGTTTGGATATATTGCTTTCAACATGGTCGGTGCCATCGGCTTGTATTGGCTTCTCCGTGTCCCCAAGAGGAAATCTGGCGTAAAGCAAGGGCAGCAGCCACAAAAGCAAGCAAACGAGACAAAGGCATAATTCTATTTCAATTGGAATACTCGATGCTATTCCATGGCCCACGAGCCATTGCACATATATTACACTCCCACCTTTGATACATGCGCACCGCACTTCCCTCCAAAATCTACGACGATCTTACTTTTCCATGTCTTGCAAATAGACTAGACTTTCATGCCAAAACTTTTTTTCACCTCTTGCTTTTAATCCTACTAGATCTACATAATTTTAATATGTCCCTCAGTGTCACTCTGGGACTTTGCTGTATATCATACTTTGTTCATGTCTCAGTCATGTTGCTTTCTCAATTGGATACTCCATTTCCTCAATTTTTATTCTCCAGTTTCAAAATTATGAATGCAACCCGAGGGAATATCAAATGGAATCTTAGACGCCTCCGCCACAAGCATACCCTAGTATCCGTTGTCCCTAATTCATTGCTTCCGGTGGTCCAGCTACCATGTCACTGGTAATCTCGCGCGTTCAACACATGGGTGGCTTTCACATTGTCCATGAACGAAAATATGCTATCGAGGAGTTTACAGATCACAAATTGTACTTATGTAGGGCTGTCGTATGGGATATGATTTGTGAGTTAGATCTTCAAAACATCTTGCTTGGATTCTTATCAGTCAGATAGAATTATCCCTCTAATATATTCAGCCCCACCCTGTATGGTCCATCGCCCACGAATTCGGTGTTCCTGTGGTGTCGTAGACAAGTTGGAACTTGAGTGGCTGTTTTCGCCCTGGTTGCACCGGGTATCATGTCCATGTCCAGAGAAGAATGTAGCTGCAACGCTGTGTACTCGTCTCTAGCAAGCGAATGTTGAGCCCCCTTGTGTCCAACGTCGTGTTTGATATGCTGGAACCAGTGCTATTATTAGAATCGTGTAACTATTTCTCGTTTGCATGATGTAGCTAAATATAAGAGACATAACGAAGACATCATGTCCAGAGAATCTCATCTGCTTGGCTTACTACCCCAGTGTTTTCTGTTAATAGGGCCAAATAGTCTTATTGGGTGGGGAACAGCCTGTCCCGTCTTCATGTGGGTGTCAGTATCAAGAATGAGATTGTCGTTTATTTTGCAAGAGAGCACCGACAGCATGATTCGCAGATATAACCAGTTTAAGCATCTGTCTAACTATGCGATCGGACGAAAGGTTAACTAGTTAGTTTGTTGACAGCTGGAATGTTAAGAGCCATCTGCAAAGCACGCATGAATTGCTCTGTTTGGAGTCGGTCTGTAGCGTGTTATTAGTCTGAAAATGAAGGTTAGTTTCTAAGAATAGGAAGTCAAAAATAGAAACTGGACCCAAAATAACACTTGACTTAACCAGTAACTCCAGAATTATTGCTTAGCTCCACACCTGTCAGTGGTTAACGAACTCAAGGTGGACAACGGAGAGCAGACAGCGTCTCCCTTACATCCTCAGAGTACGTATGCTGCCCGCCGTCAACGGTAAGCACCACCTTGTGTTATCCATGAATGTGAGCCTCCCACACACCCCGTATATTCCATGTATAAACTTTCGAGCTGTGATGACATCTTGTAGACAAGGAGTGAAATTTTAGAGCGAAAATATTTGGTTCAGAACAAAACTCCAAAATTAACACCCATATTTATTAATAATTGTGCATATTTTCTGATGAGTCACGCACGGGAGAGAAGGCATCTTGCATGTGTAACAAGATGAATCGTCGTGATTCGATCGGTTACCGTGGCTGTGGTCAATAGCCTATTTTGCCTTGCTCAGGTTTGGTTTATTTTTAACTGCCTTGCCGCCTTGAGACAAAGACCGCATAGCCAGCGAATTCTCAAAGTTTTAAGGCACCCAGTGTGTAGCGAATAGGTTCTGAAGGGAAAGGGCCAAAAGAAACAAACTTTTCCTCCGGATTCTTCTCCGTCTTCCGCAGTGAGCGAAAGTAGTGAGAAAGTACTCAGTACAGAATGAGGCCAAACCCTCCTTTTCCTCAGCTCGGGTAGGCAAATCATGTCAGTAGCGGGATTTTCTCTTTTCTCATTCAGCTTTCGCCCAAGCCAGCGTACTATTCGTCTGCTGCATGCAGACCCCTGTTCAGCTGACATCCGAGGCATCCACGGCGCTTAAAAGGAAAAGAAGCTGAACGAGTGATCTGCGGTACGTCCAAGCAACGGAGTCTGCCCGTCAAGCCAGAGTGCGGCAGTGCGTACGGAGAATACTTGAGAGTGTGCTCTGTGTTCCGCAATACACTAGGGCACTGGCTCATACGGAGTACTCTGTGACAAAGCGATGGGAGGTTCTCGGCGTTATGATCTGGGCGATAAGACCGAAGTAAAAGGGGGAAGGGGAAGCGAAAGGCCGAGAAAAGAAATATATTTGAATCATTTCTTCTTTCTTGGGTGAGAGTTGAGTCTCGAGTTTTGGGATAATCGGAATGGGCGGAGGAACTCATCCACGCGGACTAACAGCACTCGTGGGAGAGCCAACCAAAATGGTAGAGAGGGGAAACATTGCTGTTTCTTTGCTTCTTTCGCACAGTGTAACTAACTGATTTGACAGAGTAAGAAATTCAGGTTATTTTGCTTCATTCCTCATCCTTCTAGAAAGGGGGGCCAGATTCCCATGCAGGACTGTTTCATAACTTTCCTGCCAGTCCAGCCGATGAGATATGAGCAATTACCGTATTTGCCAGTCTGCCATACCCTCGTGCGTATGGACTGCATGGCTAACCAGTACTGATTTATCGAGTTTCAATACATTGTTTGGTGGTGGTGTGTAGGGCAGCTGAGCGTGCCAGATGACAGAGAACTCTGAGTAACTGAGAGTAAACTATGGGAGAGAGATCCCCGTGGGGGCCAGGAACCTTTTCGAATAAGCTCGAACGCGGCCCTTCGGTCGAAATCAGTCAATTTGTCCGTTTAACCCCAGAGGCAGTCAGTCAGCCTTTCGCAATCTTCTCTCAACTCTGGATGCAAGGGAAGGGTTCACCACCACCTCGAACTGCTCTCTCACATAGTTATCCACCTGAACCACGAGTCCGTTGCACCGATTATGCATGGAGAGAAGGATCGGCTTGCGACACAAAGATCACAGCGTACCTGAGAGTAAGAGTCTTATTAACTTTCGAAGTTGACCAGCGCCCGGTTCAGGCTAGAAAGTCAGTCCGTCCCACGTTTAGAGCACCGCCCGATCTTCTTGGAACAGACTCTGTGTCTCGTCTCCTCCGGTAAACTGTCGATCAGGACTTTTGAGTGTGGCACAGGAAGAGATGCCACTGGCCCTGATCTTGTGTTCTATAGCATGTAAGGCAGCAGATTCTCACTGCATGGGAACTATCTGCCTTAAGAGCCAAACCCTATAACTAGGTGTATGGTTAGCCTGATTGATGTGCACAGCAAAAAAACGCGGCATCCGGGGTATCTCGTCCGTGATTTGACAAGCTCACCATCAACAATCCTTGCGAACCCTGCCTCCTCCAGCAAAGAGCGGCACATATCGAAGGTTTCTGGTGTGCAGAGGTCAGAGGGATGAACTGTCAGGCCTCATTTCCACAAATCACCAGCACAGCCCAATGAACAGCCAACTTCGCCCGGCGGAGACACCATCCTGAGCCCGTCACCGGAGAGATGTCCATCTTCGATGCGTCCGTGTCTCCCTCGACGTCCGTGAAAGCAGCAAATGCACCGAGAAAGAAGCAAAAGATGTATAGAAAGCAGAAGACGCAGAAGACGCAGAAGAAGCAACGGAGGTTGCGATGCGCCGGCAGAAAAGCAAAGGCGGCGTTCCCTTTCCGGTAATTGCCACGACCAACTCGACGAGGGGCTGTAAATGTTAGAAACTCGCACAAGAAAAGAAAAACAGCGGCCAGTTCAGGACCGCAGTTCTACGCTGGACAGGCACTGCGAGACATTCAGATACTAAGCTGATGAGAGGGATGCAGTTCGAGCATGTATGATGCTGGGGATCGACATATATTGGCACCTAGGTATTATCTCGCGATGGAGTTGAAAGCGTCGCTGTCACTAATCGTCTCCCTCGTGCTAACAAGTCCATAGAGAAGACCGCGAGTTAACTTCTATCCAACCTCCCTGGCAGATCTCTGATCCTCCAAAAACACAGCCCGCTAGGGGGTGACGACAGGCATCCATGCTCTGCCACGCCTTTGGATTGCGCCCGGTCTGCGGTCTCTGCGGGGAGGGGGGGAAGGGCCTTCTTGCATTGGCTGATTTGTGGTATGGCCGGACGCCTGGATGCCGAGAGCAATGACATTGCTGCACAAATTACTGATTACAATAGTACTGAGTGCGAGCAGACTGCCCTCGCCAGACCTGATTGGAGAGGACAGCAGAACCTGCATGCCTCGTACAGTTTCGTCCTGCCTGAAGGATCAGACTTTGAAGATGAAACTCGTGTGGGACAAGGTCCAACTCGGTCTCCTCGGGGCGACCATGCAGATTTTTCTGACAGGGGGAGGGACGCCCTTTTTTTTTTTTTTCAAAAGCACAAATTCCAAATAGTATTCGTTGCACGTCCTGGGTACCATGGAGTACATGGCACACAGTCCCCTCTGCTCGGGAGATGCGGTCCGAATCCTCCTATTCAGAGTTTCAATTCTCATCCAATCGTTCCTCCCGCTTGGACGAGAGGGTATCCACCTTTACGAGCAATAGCGGCCTTCAACACGTGTTTATGATCCCCAGCTCAAGGGTAGAACCTTGATCTTGAAGGCTTGCCTGTCAGCTCTCGATAATAATATTAATATTTCTTACTTATATCCCGCAGTAATGGACTACCAAGGGCGGGTTGTGGGACCTTTGAGATAATAATAAGAATGGTACCATGTACACACTGGAACTCGATCCTACACATGGCAAGAACAAAATCCAAAAACGAGGAATGCCTGCAAATCCTGCAGACACAACTGAGCAGCAACAGCACTGTACGTAGGGTCCATTACTATGGAACTCGTCCTGCCCCCTTGGACGCCAGATAATAGCCGTTCACATAGGCTAACCTCCTTTTGACCAGGGAGGCTTGGACACTTTGACCAATAGACGATTACAATGTACCCTTGTCGTACCAACAATGGTCTTGCGCGAAATCGTGCTTGATCGCAATGCAGGACATTCATCTTGTTCGTTCATCTGTTTAGCTAGCAGGTTTGACCAGCAAGTCACTGCTCTAGGCAAGAGATTATCCTGTAAACGGGTTATTGGAACGCTGATCGGGAGGAACTAATCCAGCCACCCGTGGAAAGCCAGATGACGAGTTAACTAGTCTCGGAGTTAATAAGGAGTTTATCCGCTCAAAAACCAGCACAACAGCAGTTAACAGACTGAATACAGTTAACCCACTAGATATGCCGTGCTATCACTCTCTGCACCTTGCTATGTACGGCATATATGTTGATGCTGCTCTTCCCGGATGTTATAGCCTGCCTAGCGCTCGCTACGGGACAGGAGCATAGCACAAAAGAGCAAATCAGGTACTGGCACCCAAATTCCCCCCCGAACCGGGATCATTTTCAGCTCGATGATTGTAGTCCATATACTCCCCCGTACACCCTACGTACATGTGGGCACTCATGATTTAAAATCAGGATTTATATTACTTCCGTTTTATCTGCTGATAGGAGGTTTCTCCATATGTAAGTGAACCCCTGGCCTCGTGGCGGACAGGATATTGAGTTATTCCTCGCTCCATGAACGGTCCAAAAAAAGTCGGAGAATAGACCATGGGGGTGACCCTTCACCATATACCAGCATATACTAGCCAGGGTGCGATGCCGATGTTGATAAGGGGCCCGCAGGGGAATAACGAAGAGGCATGCACTGTTTACGCTCCGTACCAGACCAACTGTTACTCTGCTGTGGACAAACGACGTTATTCGCTAAGTTGTATCTTGAAATAGGAGGACGACTGTCTCTCCTGCTAGTGTTGATCGCCATGTGGCAGAGACAAACGTGTCAAACCCCCAAGCACATACACTTTTGTCTCTCAAGGGCTCGTATTCCGGCAAGGATCAGGGCGACGCTCACTTCGCTTCCTGGAAAGCCATGCAGGGGCGCTGGCCTTGTGATTTCCAATCTATTGCAAATTTATTTTTATACTTCGGCCACCACGTTTTTTTCCTTTTTTTTCTGAAAATGGGGCCAGGCATTGAGGCTCTGCATAGTTCAACCGTGTCCGACACTCTTATCTCTGATTCTTCTCATGTGGCCTTTCAAAGGGAAGAAAAAAGAGAGAAAAGCAAATATCGGAACTATCTAAAGCTGACTGGGTAATCCCTGTCCCCTACACCCGCTACATCATGGCGCAAGGTCGGCGGGTGGTGGAACAAGCTCTCTCTCTTTTCTCGGGCCTGAGCTGCTGGCTGCTTTTATATGCCCTCGCATCCCCCAGATCCTCCCTCAGCTTGAACACAAACAACTTCTCCTTCTCATACCTTCACGCTACACGCTGGCATTAACTACTCTACTTCTACAAGCACATTAGTGAACCTCATGCCATACATGCACTCAGAGCTACACACCTGCCAGGCTTCCACTGTTCATCCCGTCTACTACGCTATTGAACCGTGAAAGCCATCTGCTCTACCCGCAAGTCTAGAGAGTCGCACTTCAAATCCCAAGGTAGTCATCAATTTCTACTGTGTTTGGATTCCAATATCAGATTTCAACAATGACCTCAGTGGCGGGCACCTTCACTCTCGCCCTCGACCCTACTACACATTTCGGCTTTTCGGAAGACGGGTCCCATGCTGACTACGAGCTGGCTCTCTCTCCACGGTCGGAGGATATCAGAGCTATGATGGGATCCAACGACTTCCCCTACGACCTCAATACCGCGGGAGTGATGAACCAAAAGCAGAATATGACCAAGGCGCAGTCGCTCACTGGTTTCGAGCAGTGTGCTTCAGCCTTTCCAGCAAATCCCCACGGAGATGCAGAGATCTACAACAGCCCATATCACATAGAGACTACGATTCCATGGGAAACTGACTGTATGATGTACACCTCACTGCCACAGCGCATGGTGAGGTATACCTCTCCATTGGGCTCTTGCGGAGGAGATCAATCTACATCTGATTCTTCCATGAGCGAGTACTCGTGGAACTCTCCTAAGCTCTATCCTAGCGTCAACGATGTATTCGACTCGCCAATCACCGAAAAATGCCAGTTTTTGGATGGCATCGACAATGCTCTGTCTAGGAGCCTAAGTGGTTCGCAGTTTGGAAGCGAGTGTTCTGTCTCACCTAAAGATGTACAACATTATCCGGATCCTGTCCCTACCCAAAGCCCTACTTTTGAAGACCTCATGCTGTCTAACAAACCGCCCCGATCTATCCCTGCCTTCATGTCACAATCCTTTCCACTACAAAACTTGGACTCACGTCTCGGGCAAGATGAGATTGTCTTCGGGGATCATCTACAAACTGGGAACAACGAAATAGTTGATCCCGCCCTAGGCGAGGTCTATCTCGACCGCCAGAACAGTCTCTCCGAAATGACTTCTGCGGGATTTTCTGGCTTGACCCACAAGCGAGTAAAGTATAACGAGATAAAAGCAGATAGCTCGGTTTCGATACCCAGCCCTCCATTATCCCCAAGTGGCAGTGAGAGTGGTGTACGAAAGAACCGAGCGAAGCCAAAGCAAAGACAATCTCCAGTCAGCAAACGCACGACTAGGCGAACCCCGCCTAAGAGTTCAAGTTTCAGCATTCCCCGAAACCGCCAATCGGCGGCGGACCGCATCTTCACCTGCGTTTTTGCCCCATATGGTTGCACAAGCTCCTTTGCCTCCAAGAATGAGTGGAAGCGCCACGTTCTTTCCCAACATCTCCAGCTTGGCTTTTATCGATGTGACATTGGTCACTGCAAGGTGTCTAAACCGTCCAACTCTATGATGTCCACCCCTTACTCCTGCGATTGCCCAACCTCAATCTCCTCTTCCCCTTCTCATTCATGCACTATTACCACTATGCGTACCCCCAACGATTTCAACCGCAAAGACCTTTTCACTCAACATCTTCGTCGCATGCACGCGCCTTGGTTGACTCTCCCCTCTCCACATGAGCCTACCAAGGGAGAACGTGAAGCTTTCGACAAGCAGCTTGATGAAGTACGAGCCAGATGCTGGGTCCAGCAACGTCAAGCTCCTCAGCGAAGCCAGTGCAACTACTGCAGCCATGAATTTGTTGGCCCACACTCCTGGGAAGACCGCATGGAACATGTGGGCAAGCACTGCGAAGTTATGGATACCGAAGAGCGCGAAGATGTTGCTCTGCGCGAGTGGGCCATTGAAGAGGGTGTCATTCTACCATATGGGCCTGGCAAGTGGTTGCTAGCAAGCATATTGAATGGCAGTGGAAAGAAATCCTGTGGATACTCCTCATAATATGCTTCTCTTATTGCCTCAAATGGGGGAGAAAAAGGGGTGAGAGAACCGAACCAGAAACGAAAACAAAGGAAAAAAAATATTCCTTTTCTCTGTCTGTCTCAGTATATATTTTTCCCTACTTGTTTGTTCATGACTTTTCTTATGCTTTTTCATTTATTACGACTCGGGCAAGACTTCAGGAAAATTCAGCATGGCATTATGTGGTGGTATGGAAACACGGGTTTCATTTGTAACGAATACAAAGCTTTATATGACTTCTTTTCTCCCTTTTTTCCAGTTTAATATTATTCTCTCAAATAGCCCTCCTCTACTTACCCCCGATACGTTCTACATATTAATCTCACAATAATGATCTTGATGATTGATGTACCGTACACTCCGGCATTCACTTTAGATCTTTGGCACTTGCTACTAGAATCCTCCGATATCCAATCTACAACATGCCGCATCCAACAGGTATATCATCCTCAGTCATGTTCTAAAAATTTCCGGAAGATATCATAATTCAAGTTTCCATCCAACCGAAGTATCATGTAGAGTGTCTTTTAGAAGCTACGCCCACCTTCAGCATGCAGGCTACCTGCATGCAGCAGGGCTCAAACAACTCAGGCCCTGGTTAATCACTGACATATCTATTGGCAATCGAGTGGGACTATGTAAGTTCCGAAGCCATTCAAGGGGTATGCACGCAACCTGGCCGCAATCCTGTTTGCACGCGGCCATGCACGGAAGAGTAGATGCAAGTGTCCATGAAGGATTCAGCTTGCATCATGCCTGTGGATTGACACGCAGAGCAGCCGTACTTGGCAGCAATTTTTTTTTTTTTTTTTTAAAGTATTACGGGATTTTCCCGGTTGCCGTTGGCCACGAGGCTGGGGAAGTTAGCAAATAATACCTTAGCGGGAATGTTCTAAACGTTAGTTTCTAGATTCTCGTGTAAGAGGTTGATTAATGGAGGATCGTGGGCAGAGATACGAGAACCAACAAGCTTTGAAAATTGTGTGGACCCTCCGCCATCTCATGGACAGTTGGTTTTGCTTCGTCAGACCTCATGACGACGCCCGGAGAAGCGCATGAAGGAGTGGCCCAGATAGTGGAGGTTTCTGATTCTGGAGGGTCTGGAGACTTACGTCTGCAGTTATCCGAGGGAATCGAATGTGGCTGAATGTCCCTAAGGGCGATATATCTGGTGACTGTTTGCCGGATGTAAATAGGGGTGCGCATAAAAAGATGGCATAAATCTCCTGAAACATCGTGCAGGGTTCAGCAAACCATGCCTGCATAAGCATTGAGCACCAGTTACCCAAAGTTCAACAGGCTACCTCAACAGGAGAACCGGAGAAGGCTATCTATCATTTGCCGAATCGAGTATGGTAGCCTACTAGCTAGACTCATATAATGTTGAAAATGTGGTATATAGCGGCTTTTCCTGGCTTTAATTGCTGTATAAAATTTGTGGCCCCCAAGTGATGTGCAGTTAATATGCAATAGATATTAGAAAGTAATTGCATATATGGCGTGTTGCAGGTATATACACGGTGTTTAGAGCGAATGATGACCAGATAAGTTAGCTATCCATGTGGATATCGCCATATCTTTGTTGCATAACGCTGGGATCAATAAATCGTCACGGTGGGGGATATGATCTACGCTAACCGGCGTAGGGTGCATTGCAAAAATCATGGTTATAATGCCAGGGAAATTTGCAACCTCGCCTGCGAGACATGCTAGCATGTCAAAAGATCCTCTAAGATCGTCTTCGTTTTTCAACCGCCTCTCGAAGTTTTGCAATAACTTCAGCCGGGTTCTGGGCTCCAAAAACGGCAGATCCAGCGACGATGACATTAGCACCCGCATCAGCCGCCTGGTCTATGGTTCCAATGCCCAGTCCACCATCGACCTCGATGTTCATGTCGGGGTATTTGGCTCTCAAGGCCTGGACCTTGGGTAACTCGGAAGCCATGAACTTTTGGCCGCCGAAGCCTGGGTTAACTGTCATAACGAGTACCATCTATACATAAACTGTTAGCACAATTGGTCTCCATACGGTTCTCCTACTGGAGCACCCAAAGAAGTATCCTCACATCTGGTCGTTCAATTGTTTCTTTGTTTTCTAATATATTCCAGAGCACATCTACACTGGTCTCTGGTTTAATGGCAATGCCTGCCTGCATGCCTAGTTCATGTATATAACGAATTAGCTCCTTTGGGTTTGTTTTTTCGGTCGTCGTGTTATCCGAAGGCTCCTTGGCAGCAGTGGACTCGACAGCCGCCTCGTAATGGAAGCAGTACAGGTCACACCCGGCGTCTTTGAATTCTTTAACCCATTTTTGAGGCTATAACAGAGTAAGCTATGAGATCGTATGTATATACTTGAGGCAAAGGGATGCGGAGGAAATGGAAGGGCGTGGGTACCTCAGCAATCATCATATGGCAGTCAAATGTTCCCTTTCCGCCTGCGCAGGTCGGCCTTTGGACATGAGTTCTTATCTTTGAGACAACCGGAGGTCCGAAGGTGATGTTCGGCACGAAATGACCGTCCATGATATCAACGTGGATCCAGTCGCTGTCATTGTCCATTAACCCGGAGCATGCTGCACCGAGAGAGCCAAAGTCGGCAGAGAGAATTGAGGGAGCTATAATTGCCGGTGGTCCCATCGTGAATGATCCGTATGAGCTGGCTAGAGGTGTATTGGGTTAAATGAAGATGAAAGCCGGAAGTTGAGGTTGTTTTTGTTGGATGTTTTGATCCCAGATGAGAGATAGTGGGGTAGTGGGGGTGATAAAGAGTATTAGTCAGCATGAAAGTCACATGACATAGCTAAAGATCAAGACTTCTTGATTATTAATCGATTTCCTGTAAATATCTCTATCGACAAGATCAGACGGAAGGAAAAAAGCACTTAGTTACAGTTACGCATACTATGGCCCCTGTAATAACGGTAGATGCATAGTCATGGAAGGAGTTAGTCATTCATGCGCCTACTCAATTCGAGCCTTACTTGTAGGATTTATCAGTTATAACAGTCGTTTTAAACAGGATAACTATTTTGTATACCCTACCCCAACCGGATGTTAAGGCTATTTATAGATGTATAGATTGTCGTACCGTTCTATATGTGGGCTTCGAGGCTGTGAAAAAGAACTGTATAGGCACTGATATATCTCTTACCTCAGCACAGAGATGAGAGCTAATTTTATATAGTACAGAATTTTTGATGAAGCGCGAATCTACTTCGTTCACTCATAAATGATCGAACCAGGGGTGCTCAAGAGCACCCTTTGCGGTTATGCTTCTCGCAGGATCCATGCTTGTCATCTTACCGACGACATCTCAAAAAGATTCATCGACATCCTCCCACGTCGAAAATGGCTTCCGTGGGTCCTCCGGAGTAAACTCTCATCAGCAACAGCAACAACAATATCTCGCCACTCAGCGGAATCATCTTCCAAGTGCTGTAGGAACCCAACCAGACCAGGGCCGTCCCCAAAATTAGAGAGTAACCGTTTGGCTATAATCCGATCTTTTTCATAAACATCTACATCCCTTTCGTTGATATAGAAAATATTCTTGTGAAGCATGGTATTTATACACTAGATGAGGCCAATGAGCATATGTCATCATTACAATCGAAGAAGATTTGAACAGTTACTCACAACAAGGCCAAAGGAGAAAATGTCAGATGGGGTGTTGATACGGGCAGCAGCGTGGGACTCCGGGCTTTGCCACATGGGATTTCAAAGCCGGGCACCACGAACATTTACGCCAGGGGGAATCATGGAACCCATCTCCAGGTCTCCAATTTGAGCTCTCTCTATTTTGATTGTGCCATCAACGAGGTCATAGTCGACAAATATGTTGCTTGGCTTAATATCTTGTAAAGTTGAAATGAAACGATAAGTTAATACAAAGCAAGAGTAGCGACTAGTTTAGCCAACTAGATAAGGGTGGAGTTTAATTACCACCGTGCAAAATGCCCCGTTCATGTAAAGCGGCAAGTCCAGTTAGCGAATCACGCAGAATTCTCTTTCTAGCTGTATAAGAAAAACCATCTTTCCTAGCTAGGCCGAGTAGATCTTCGGTAAGGAAGTCATATGTGAACAAGAGGTGCTCAGGAACAGTATCCTTCGCTACTCTTAGGCCAGGGCAGCTTGCAAGAGGCGCCTGTAGGCCCCACTGATATTCGAATTCAGTGGGATAGATGTTTTTACTGATATGCTTCTTTCCATCCTGGGTTCTAATAGCTCTGGACACTTAGCAATCTAAGGCATAAAATTCTGGACTACCGTATGATACATACGTAGCCAGATAGACACATGATAAGTCGGGTTCCGTCCTGCGCTGGAGAACTCGATCTATGTAGTAGAGTGCCCCAGTTTGGCTGACTAGCCTTGTTCCCACTTTCAGCACTCCCTTCGACTGCGTGGCATGACTGGTTGACATGCTCATGATTGACAGTCTGCTGGAGAAGGAAGTGCCCCAACGCTGTACGGTATGAAATCGGCAAAACAAAGGCGATGTAAAGGAGGCTGATTGAGGACTGAATACTCGCAGCCTAGAAGCCATAGCAGTTAAATATCCAGAGTGGTATGGTAACAGTTAAATAAACATCGAATATCACGAGATATTGACTGTGTTACAGATATAGGGTATTCAGTAAGTTAGACCAGGACTATATAACTAGTTAGCTGTACGCTGAATATAAGATAGAGGGGAGTCTGAGATTCCATTTTTCAGTCCATAGGTGATTTGACTGCATCTGGGAATAGAGGATGCTTGTGACTCCTGCGGCGCAGATTTCTTCAAGAGAAGCATAAGGGATATATTGAGCATCAACTGCTCTATCAAGAGACATAGCCAGACCTTCTCAATTTGTTTGATCATGGGCTATGTCCTTGTTTCTCTGAAGAAGCTCAAGGTTGTCCCTCTCTGCTGGTGGTCAAAAGGTAGTCAAAAGTGACTATGACGTTAACGTCTCCGTAACGACGCTCGGGGATCCAGCATGTAACGTGACTCTCACTGCTCTGCTCTCTTCGTAGGCAATAATAGTGCGATGAAATCAACCAGACGACAGCTTTCTACGACCAGAGAAGCATTCAACAATTCACTCGACAGCTGCAGCTGTACGCCCCTTGATCTTTGTTTCGAGTGAAGCGGCCGGTTGAGACCACCGGGACGGCCTATTTTTTATCCTCGAGACCGCTCAACGGCGACGGAGTAAACGAGCGGGCAACCCTCCCTAATAAAGGGGCTGATATCATTCACTGATACAGCCATACTCTACGCCCTACCTAGCAACTTCTTACGTCGAAAATACTCATCGAACTGTCATATCGCATCAAAAGTCCGGCTTGCAGGCCAAAGTTCTACAGTCATGGCGGGAAATCCTCCAACATCATACACCACCGACCCCACGTTATTCCTGTATACCTCTCTGACAGCCGGTTCTTCCCACATCATCACAGCAACGTCGAGGTTAGAAACGATTCTAAAGGCAAATAAGATCCCTTTCCGAGCGATCGATGTTGCCACAGATGAGAAAGCACGTATGATATGGGGTCGGAGGTCGAAGGGCAGAAAGCTACCCGGGCTGGTCAGATATGCCAGCATAGTCGGAGTTAGTACCAGAAGCTCATACCCCTAGTCATTTCCTTTGGTCGTCTTCTTGCAAGCTGCTACTATCGGAGCCGGTCACTGATGCGTGGAATCTATAGGATCTGGACCAAATTGAAGAATGGAATGAATACGGTGAACTGAAGGCACAGATAGCTGCAACCCTGTCACCCTATGACGCTTCGAAATCGGAACCGCAGAAAGTGGCTATAGCACCCACGGCAACGGGAGCAGCAGCACCGCCTAAAACGACCTCCTCGACCCCCCACATACGGATAGGGGATACACCTTCGCGGACTCCGTCGGGCGAACAGCATGGTGAGAACATGCCGGCTGCGTTGCGACAGGCCAGTGAGGAGGCTGCGGCAAAGGCCAAGGAGAACATGCGGGCAAGACTAGGATTAAAGCCTCAGTCACCCTTGCATAAATCCGAAGAGCAGAAAGCCGAGATGAAGGGGAAGGGACCAGAAGACCAGAAACCGGAGGAGACAAAATCAGAAGGCAAGCTAGCAGAAGTGGGACTGAAAGAGAAACATCCAGAAGAGAAGAAAGCTACCGATCAGGAGGAGCCATCTGAACAGAAGGAACTTGAAGAGAAAACAGAAGCGCTAGAGTTTGGGAAAGAAGACATATCAGAGGGGCAGAAGCCAGAGGGAAAGAAAGTAGATGAGCAGGGGGGAAACAAAGAGACCCAGAAGCTGGCTGGAGCATCCCAAACTGCTAAGGATGACAAGCCGGAGCCTGTTACAGCTTCGGTGGAATCCAACGACGCGAAACTGGGAAAGGAGAAGGATGGAGAAGATGTATCATCCACAACCGGCCCAAGTGCAACCTCCAAGGAGGCAAAGGGTGCATCCGCTCCTGAAAAAGAAGCGGTATGATGCTGAACCAAGCTGGCCCCCTCCCCTTTTTTTTTACCCATTTACCCGACTAAATATAATAATTACTATCACGAGACACCCATCAAGTACATACAAACCATATAAAGTGTGGTCACATATAGCTATGCTACGGATGCTCCGTACTGCTACCAGCGCTCCAACCGTCTTGCAACCGCACATGAACAGGATCAATATCAATTGCTGTACTCCGTACCTCAACACAATAGCTCCAACCGTTACGGAGTACATAGTTATTATTCAGGGACTCCCCTCGCCTCTCTGTATGAAGCCGTAGAGAGACGCCTCCGACCTCGCAGCGGGAGGCAAAAGCGCACCCGCAGTGTGCCTGTATGCACGGATGTCCTCTTGATCAGCGCGGACAGCAAGTGTCTCTGCCCGCCAGCATGCCCACGATGCACCGCCATCGTCAATAATAATGTCAATAATCCGTCGCCATAGTCACAATCCTCAGGGGAATCATAAACCTCCCCCCCTTTTGGGCAGAAGTGATATCACGTGATGGGCATTGCCTAATCTGGGCATGCGAACGACGTTTCGTATTTTCGCTGCTGCGCATCTCACGATCTCAACCGCCAGCTCGACACCACCAGGCCGTTAAGTACTGTTATTTGCTGCTGGCCTGTGACCCGGGCGTGACGACGGGCAGGATGGGCAGGACGGGCTGGCGATGGCCGTCTTGGGCGCTGCACCAGTCCACGGGACCGCATTTTCGATAGAGATGCACGCCAAGGGGATCTGGGCTGCGCGGCGCTGCATTGCCTTTCCGATAGGCCGCCTCGCTGTGCGCCCACCGAGTGATGAGTTGTCCCCCGAGGACGGGCAAGGGCCTGCAGCGACTGATGCGCTGCTCATTGGGTTGCTCGTGTTTGGGCGTGCAGCATCTCCGGATCCAGTATAGCCTGTGTTGCGGCCTGTCTTAAAGCCTCCGCGTCCTCCGTCTGCCATCCTGCTCGTTTCCCTTTCTCCTTTTTCGCCCTCACTATCTTATCGATCCCCTCCTGCCGCTGCATATAACCATATACCCCCCTGGGAGTCTGCTTGGAGAAGCAGTCTGATAGAACGCAGAATAGAATACGCCCAGTTCAATACCCAGGTCTATCCTACTACCTCAAGAAATAACGTTGGTTTATATTTCATTCTACCTCTTCTTACCCCGGCCCTGCATTCCCTCCCTATCGGAAGTTGTACATGTGCGAACTGGATAGCAGTACTAACCGGTTTCTCCAGATTTGCTACACATAACTCATAGGCTGATATAGCCCTTTCCGGGAAACATATCTCTGGTCTACTGGCCTTGACAGACCCCCAGCGCGAACCCACGGACTGTTTGGTTTCTATAATATTTGGTCGTTCCAACCCGCCTCCCTCCCCCGCCTCTCTCGAGACATGGCTCTGTTCCTCAGCAATGACGAGCTGTTCGATACGGTACTCTCCTCATCTAGAGACGCTTTCTGGCAAGAACATTCCCACCTCCCCGAACACCATCGACAGCAACTCTGGAGCCAACGTTTGGAGCCGTTCATGACAACCCCAAACCAGCAACCTAATTACACTCACGTCAAGGGACCCAGCGTGGACGAGACATCTGGCCTGTCTGGGAAACGGAGCTGCGAAGCCATGAACCCCAACTCGACTTCCGGACGCCACACGAGCAAACGACGAGCTACCGTAGGTGATCCGATTTCTTGGTCAAAAATATCCATTCCCCTCCAAAAAATCGTCTCTCTACAGACACCTGGGATTAACATGAAACTTATAGAGCCAGGAAACTACTTTGGAATCCTCCAGCTGCAATAGACCTCAGCCACAACATTCGGTTTCCTCTCCTTCACGGATCCCACGGTACTCACCGCCTCTTTCAAGGCCTGGCAAATCCACACCAGAAACCGACATCCTTCCACCCCCCACCATTGTTCACGAATCCGACGAGTCATCCACTGGCCTTCCGTTCCTCCTGCCGACTTCAACTGCATCGAATTCTCCCGCGTTTGGTCTTGACCTTCTTGAACTCAACCCGGACCTCCACAGCTATACGCCTGATCTCTTCGACCAAAAGTTTCTGGATGGAACTCCCGGCGCTCTCGATATTTCGACGACTGGAACTCCCAACCCTTCGCTTGACCAGAGCCCCTCCACACAGACATCGAAGCTACCAGAAGTGGTCTCCTCTGGACCGGATTGTGTCGTACCCAAACCCTCTGGCTTCAGTGCTGAGATGAATCGTAGTTTTACTACTGACTCATTGTGTGGAGGAATGGATATGATCAGGTTCGGCTCGAACAGATCGGTTTCCAACAATCTGGAATTTCCAGATCAATCATCAGCAAATTTCTTTGCTCCGTCATTACAACAGGAAAATGACACAAACTACCCCCTTTCCTTTATCCCCACCACCACTACTACCCAAGCTCCCCCCTCTGACAGTAACATGACTCATGTTCAAATTTCTCAGTCCTTGCCCGAGTACGGGTCTGGCTACTTTCCTTCCCCCCTCTCTACCCCACGCACCCATTCTTCTTCTTTGCATTCTTCGTTGTCGGCTTCATCTACTGAGATGAAGCCTTCTCTATCGAGCGAGAGTCAAGAGTCCTCTCGCTCGAGCAACTCCAGAGCTCTGCGGAGGACACATGAGCAGATCATGCAAGGTACACGAAAGATTGCGCCTAAGGCTGCTGAAAAACAAGGTATTCAGCCCGCAGCGACCGAGCACCGGAAGATCAACATTCCGGCAGCTGACGGTCGATCTCGCGAAGTCGCTGTGATACCTAAAGCTTCGGTTCAACGACCTGCTCGTCAAAAGACATACTGCACAATGTGTAACGAGCAGCCCGAGGGCTTCCACGGCGAACATGAACTCAGAAGACACATCGATCGATCTCATTCTCAAATACGCAAAGTGTGGATCTGTGTCGATATATCACCTGACAAGAAATTTCTTGCCAACTGCAAGGCCTGCCGAAATCAAAAACGGTATGGTGCAAACTATAATGCAGCTGCCCACTTGCGTCGCACACATTTTAACCCTTGCCAACGTGGTCGCGGGGGTCGAGGCAAGGACAGCGAGAAACGTGGGGGAAAAGGCGGTGGCACCCACCCACCGATGGATGTTCTGAAGCACTGGATGGTGCAGCAGGATGAGATTGTCCTCGACAACACTACGGTCATCGCCAAACCAGCAAATAATGACGTTGCTAGTGTCGTCACAAAACCACAAATACCTCGCCGTACCTCAAACTCCAGCTCCACCTCCAGCGAATGTGGCAGCACCGTTGCAGCCATGAACGATAACAGCTTTACCACCCTCGCTGAAGAACAACAACAACACTTGGCTGCCCCTGCTATCGGCGCCAAATTCGATCCGTGCCTAACCACTATCGATCAACCCGGCTTCGATCTCTCACCTCAAATGCCATTCAGCCTTGATGACTTCACTGCTGCCTCGACTCCATTTGATTGGAGCGATGGCAGCCACCCGGCCACTCTCGGAGGAGGGTATATTCCCATGGGCCAGGGTATCATGAGTACCTATGACCCGTCATTTTATCCTTGATTGTGTACAGACGAGCAGAACAGCGTAGGCTGGCTGATCGTCTGTCTTGCGTTTTTGTTTTCCTGTCATACCGTAGAGCATCTGATCTACGACTTGACTTGATTTCTATTGCAACCTGTCCTTTTTACCATTCTCATTCATGTCTGTTTTATGTATCTTGTTTAATTGCTTTATTGCTCATTTACCTTGGATGGAGATTGCTACATATCTCCACCAACAGCTTTATGGTTTGAATCCTTTCTGGAGTGATCACTGGCTACAGTGCAGTGGAATAATCTCACAGTTTCTTATTTAAATCTTAGGTTCCAGGATATATTTCTTGTCGCTGGCTGTTGGTCACCTTGCTATTCTTTGAGGCTTCGTATCCTCCTTCCTCCTTATTATATAATATTTATATTATATCGGTCATCGTCACCCAGCCGCGTACCATTTGGTATGGCTGGATGCTTTCTTTTTTTTCCCTCTATATTCTTTTTCTCTTTGACCATGTATGAGACAAGACTATATACATCTGTAATGCCATGAATGACTAGCGAGTGATTGTGAGCGCCTTGTAGAAGCCTTTCCGTTTTATTATTGAAGCCACCCGTCCCAGCTCTGCAGCCAGGATAGCCATGCCGCCGCCTTCCATCAACAGATGAAATTTGTTAATGCGAGCAGATGCCTGGACCCTGAAAGTGTATTTATCTTCAGCGGCTGCAGAGAAGTTGAAGAAACACGGCAGTATTGCTCTATTAGGCATGAACAACCCTGCATTCTTCAGGAATCAGTGCATGAGAGAATGATGAAGGCCACTAACAGGGAGGTCATGCGTTGCTCGAGAGCCCGATATTCCTCGTCATTGGGCAGGTTTCCCTCAATAGGATCTAGCTCGGCGGCAGAAATGCGAAAGTCGACTGGACCAAAAATAACTCCCAATCAGCGTGCACGGTCACGCTTGCCAAGCCCTGATCCACTAATTCCCGTAGCTAAACATGTTTTTATTGGTTAAATTAATTTTATGCTTGTGGGAAGGCTCCAAGAAGTGTGAGTGGGTCTCAGCCAATAGGAAGCAAGTTTCATGCACTGTCCATCACAGGCTAAACTGTTTTAGGTATAAAGAACCGCCAAAGCGCTCGATTCCTGGCTAGTGGAAACTCTGCGAACCGCCGATGATATATGAATTTGGGCCTGATGGGTCATCGTGGTTGGCGGCGGTTGGAATATCCTATGTATAACTTTCCTATTGATGCATGAAGTTGGCTTTCATCCCTGCTGCGCTGCCTGCCTGAGAGTACGTACTACATATATGCAGTAGACTAGCGCACTTGTCCTTTCTTTCTTCACTTCCTACAACTTCATTTCGCTCTTCGCAGCTCATACCTGTTGATCAGGCCTTTCACCAACTTTGATATTCATTGTAATTTTCTAATTTCATACTCGCGCTGGTCGCACTGCACTAATACTGACATACACTTGATACCCGGGGCATCTTGGGCATCTTTTCTCTCATTTTCCTTGCTAAAACTTGTGATTACTTAATTAAACGACAGCGCTGTTGACCAGTATGTCTACCTCTAATATCTCTGCGTCATTTCATTTCTCCCGCCAGGACTTGAAGTCCCAGCCGGCTGTGCCGCAGCGGAGAATCAGCTTTGACGACCTTTACGATGCAACGGATGAATCGACGGACGATTCGGATGTGGATGGTTGCCCTTCACTCTCCAGTCACGGCGACACTCGTTCCAGCACTGCATCATACACAAACTCTTCAAACCGCATGTCGACAGAAACAAATCAGGGCGAAGGTCGTCGCAATAGGTATCCCGTCATCATGATTCCGCCGCCGACTTTTAACACCATTCACCCGCAGCACAAGAATTCGCCTGTGCCTCCCACTCCTCCGCCGAAAATTCCCCTGTCGCCCATGGTACTGTCTCGAATTTCTGGAGTTGTTCCAGCTCTTTATGCACCTCCATCTTTGGCTGGCAGCGCAGCCTCCGAAAGACCATCGACCCTTAGTGCACCCCAGACTCCAGACTTAGCTGCTGTACCTGATGTGGATTGGGATGAAGAGCAACTCCGTGTTCAGTCAGACTCCGAGGGAGCAGGAGACCCTAGGTCAGCGAGTTCTGATATGAGTCCTCAGATCGACATCCAGCTTGAGCAACCTGAGGATTGGAGTCTGGTTCTGGATCGTTTCCCTCAAATCCCAACTCATTATCCTGTTGTAAAAGCCCCAGAGAGCGAGGGTGAGGCAGGATACGAAAGCGAGGCATCTTTGGAAGGTGTTCAGCTCTCATCTGCTGCCATGGAAACACTTCAGCATATCCGAGTTCCTGGAGAGGATAGTAACGCTTCGTCTGCTTCTTCAGTTAACGACCCATCTGAAATGAACCAATTCACTGGATTCCCCGATGCTCGCCCTAAGAGCATGAATGACGCTGCCTGTGCTTCCGTCAGCTCAACCTCCTCCTTTTCAAGTTTAAGCATCCCATCGCCTGGTGGATTCTTTTCATCCCTTGATCGACACGCTCGAAAAACATGGAGTTTGGTTCCAACCAGCAATGTTCCCACATCCGCTGTTGCGGAAAAATTTTATGATCTTCCATGGATCGCTCATCCTCAGGGCCGCGTTATTGAACAGGTAGTGGAATATCGAAACAGTTATGCGGATGATGACGATGATGCCACCGAGGGTCCTCCAACTGCCAAGCGGATAATCGGCTCTGCTCCACAAACTGCACGAAAAATCCCCGAGGAGGTTTCCGAATTGGTGCTGAAACTCGACATTGACGAGAAGAAGCAAGACGATGCCTCCGAGTATGATGAATCGTACGAGGAAGGTCTGCAGACCCGTGCAATGCAGAGCCTCGATCGTACCAGCACATGGCTAGCCGCGCAAACTCAATACATGGCAGCATTGAGCGACACAAACCCCATCAACAGCCCAAAGGAGACAACAGTCACTCCTATCAATGAAAATACCACGACTGTGCCGGATATAACTGTTAGCACTACAAAAACGGTCCGTTTCCTTGACACCATCCCTGAGGAATCCTCCGAGAGCCAATCGGGCCCATCAACTCCGCTCCCGCCTCTCCCGGTTGCAATGAATTCAATCTTTTACCGTGCGTTTCAGCATCTTATGCGCACAAGGGGTAAGAGTTGCAACTTGGACACTTTCCTTCATAGCAATTACCGATATGAGGCACTGCAAGTTTCCCGCCTAACCATGCGCGAGAAGCATGTAAAAAAGCTTGCTGGCAAATATGACCTTGAGAATCCCGTTCGCCCGCCCTACAAAGGTCCATTCTCGCAAGCTCCTCGAAACTCTGTCCTCCCCCAAATAATTGCTGAAAAGAAGATGTACAACGATGTGGAAAAGGAACAGGATGCCCTGCTGCAAGTTAAGGCTTCCCTCTGGGTGATTGATGCTCTCAGGTATATTAATGGCGGCAGGTTGATCCCTAGCCCTGCTGCAAAGCGTCTTGCAAAGACAAATTTACCCCTAGGTGGACCGCAGAGCTCTGTTAAGCGCAGAATCAGGGTACTTGATCTAGGAGGCCAAGCTTCTTGTGAGTGGTCCTGGTTTGTCGCACAAGAGTTTCCCAGCGTTAGGGTTTACACGGTCGTTACCAAAAAGCAATCAAGGGATATGGCCATCCAAGGCCCACCAAATCATCAATGCGTGTTAGCTCCAAGCCTTTGGAAACTTCCATTCCCTGACAACCACTTCGACCTGATATCTGCTCGAACATTTCATATGCTCCTTCAGTCAACTCGAAATATCTTGGTAAATGGCGAAAAGGTAGACGAATTTGAACTTTGCTTGCAGGAGTGTTTCAGATGCCTAAAACCCAGGGGCTATCTGGAGTTTTTCCTCATGGATTCGGACATTGTCCGTGCCGGTCCGTATAGCTCTGCCACTTCTGTCGAGTTTGCTTTCAACCTGAAGACTCGTGGATATGATCCAAACCCCACGAAAACATTCCTCTGGAAACTAAAGAAGTCAAACTTCGGTGCCATAAAGCGTGCATGGCTCTTCATGCCAATGGGTACGGCTCTAGGTGATGCCTCTCAAGTCCCTGGCAGCAGGAATATAGAAAGAGGCGGTGATATAGGAAGCACTGCTGATGTTGCCAACATCACTGGGCTACTCGTGGGATGGATGTGGGAGCAGTGGATGCTGAAGTTGCAGATGGAGATGGGCCGTGATGAGAAGAGGTTGCTTGAGGAGATGAATGGTGTTTTTGATGAAGGCCGCAAGTCTGGCGCAGGATGGAGATGCCTGAGTGGCTGGGCTATGAAACCTTCACGGTCATATTGACGATGGAGCGAAAGCTCATACATTCCTTACATATTTTCTCGCTTTATGTTATTCAACGTTCCTCATTCATGTTGATTCGGACACCACGGCTTTTGTTGAGCTTTCCTGTCATAGACAGTGGATCTTAGACTAATCATGTGGGTTCATAATGTTGAGTCATAGACCTTCACTCATTAAGAGTATTCATTAGTATACTATCAGCATACGATGTCATCAAAAATGTATATTTTACCAACTCTTATATGCATCATCCTAATTGCTCTCAGTGCCGGAAAGAATGGGGGGAATCAGCTGTTTCACAACTCCTCTCCTCCTGGCAAAGGCCGGCGTAAGTCCATTGGACATCTCATCATGCTCTTGTATCTCCTTTAGATACAGCCTTGTAGTTAGCGTTAGAGTGAAATCAAAGAGAACTTGATATTCATCCCAAAGACGAGCCGAAGGTTCGATCGATTGGCTGAATAAGCGTCGGTAGGCTTAAATAATACAGCTATATAGTATCACGTGATGCGTCATGGCCCACCAAGATATCCAAAGAAACACGAAAGCTTTCGCAGTTTGGAGTAAAAGCACGAGAACGCAAGCTTGCTAATCCTCCATGCACATCACTTGACCGGTGCAACCTGGGCGCCGTAGCTCATATATCTCTGAATTTATTAGGACGCCCAAGCCAAGAATTCCGCTACGATGTTATTTTTCAGGTAAGCTGACTGGCAAGTGCATTCACTAGCCGCGGGGAGGTCTCTTGATATCCGGGAATTTAGCTGCAAGAGCTTCTCCTAACCCGAGCGAGGCTGACCTTGGTTAACTAGCTTCTTCAAGACTCTTACGAATCGCACCGTCACGATTGAATTAAAAAATGACATCCGGATCCGTGGTACATTGAAGAGTGTGGATCAATATTTGAACGTCAAGCTGGATGATATCGAAGTTCTCGACTTGAACGAGTATCCGCATCTCTCCAGCGTTAGCAATGTTTTCATTCGAGGAAGTGTGGTGAGATATATCGTTCTGCCACAATCCGAGGTTGATACCGGCCTACTGGAGGACGCAACAAGACGAGGTATAGGACTACCCAATTCCTCTCTTTAATTTATAATTGTTACTGATGGATTCATGCAGAAGCTGCAAACCAAGCCAATAAGGCACGGTAATGAAACGATAAAATCCAAAAAAAAAAATTAGAATCTGGTGGGCGCTGGGCCATGAGAGGATATACCTGAGTGGCGGGAATACCACCGCTTTTGTATTTGGGTCATGACTGCGGTATCTGAGCAGGAGCTGTGGCCGATGCCATAGTCATTGCACGGGGGGGGAGGGGCGGATGAGCTTCTCCAGCTGCGCTTCCCTCCACCAGGTCTAAATCTATACGATAGAACTTTTAATGATCTGCCAAAAAATACCTTTAATGAGATATCATGTCATGTTGGTTATTGGCTACCATCCATGGCTTACTCTAGGCATATAACATTATCCTAACCGTACATGATAGAGGCAATAACAATAGCATTTCGCGCTGGCGTTTCGCACTGAATGATTAGGTAATCAATATTTAATTGGATATATACACGTGACCTCGCGCTTCGCGTTTCGCGCTTCTCGGTAAGACAAAAAGGAAAATTCAAGGCTTCGACTTTGCACTGGAATGACCGAGATGATGCTGCAGGAAGTAGGGGGCGGCCTCTGAGATAGTCCCCCCTTCGTGGAGCAGGTTTTCACTCTTTAGACTCTTGTTATTATTTAGTCCGTTAGCCCGTCGCCACGACTGCTGTTCAATATGCCTCCAACGCTCACTTCACCATTCTTTCGCCCAAACGGCCAACCGGCAAAAAGACCTTCTCCATTATCTACAGTCCAAAAGAAACCAACACCAACACGAAATGGGAGCATACTGAACTTTTTCAAGAAATCCGACACGCCTCCCAAACCTACACAGCCTCGAATCACGGAATTTGGAGTCAGAAGCAAAGTAAATGTGCGGGGACGTCCGCGGCCAGATATATCTAATGACACTTCAACTGGGCTATTTTTCGGTGAGGAAACCCCCAATATCTCGAATACGGAATCCCAGATGGATGGTACCTCCTGCTACGATGAGCGATATGAGGTAGCGGATATGCTTTGGGACTCACTACCTAACTCCACTGGAACCAACTATCGAGAGGATGACAGGTATAACGAAAGCTCTGGATCAGTGAAAAGACGTAGGACGAGCGATGGAACCTGTGGAAGAGAGCTTAATGGCCCTGAAAGCGCCTCCTCTGGTCCTATTGGTAATGATGGGGGTGACTCGGCTTCAGCTCGGGAAGCGCCGAGACTAGAGAGCGAGGATTCATCATTCACACCTACCATTGCCCGCCATGGACCCTTTGTTGATGATTCTGATAGCGAGGACGATAGGAGTGCTCTATGTGTTAATGTGAGAGACTCGAATGCAGACAAAAACCTTGAAACTGGAGATCGCGCTACACAACCATTTCCCCTGCCCTCAGATGTGGAATTGTCAGATGATAAGCGACTTGAAGACTCTAGCTGTCAGTCAATCGACCAGCCAGAGAGGGAAATTGGTCCGGGGCACGATACCTCAAACGAACTGGAATCAACTCTCGTACTCGACGAGGATTCAGGCCACTTGGCTGAGAATTGCTCTGACGACGAAGTGACGGTCTGTCCAATATGCCAAACTTCCCTTAGTCAGTTGTCAGATTCCGTAAGTTACACTTAGTTTCATGAAAATAATGTTTCTAACGATGTTAATGCTGATTCAGGAAGCATCGCTGCATGTAAATGACTGTCTGGACGGCATTGACGGCAACTCTGCTACAACTGTTATTTCTATGGCAAAGGATACCCAGCTCACGCAACAGCCTCCAAGAGTATTGCCAGGCATAAAAAGGAAAGAAATTCCTCGACCTGGACAAAAGGATCCGTTCTCGTTTTCCTCAGCCTCGTTGTCCACATCTGCTTTCACCAAAATTATGTCAGCAAACGAAGAGGACACTGCGTGGAGCGTGGCAGCCTCTCGTGAAGAAGCATCTCGGGGAAAGCAGGCCTACGAGCGGACCTGTCCTTTTTACAAAATTCTACCAGGATTTTCCATAACCGTAGATGCCTTTAGGTATGGTGCGATCGAGGGTTGCAATGCATACTTTCTTAGTCACTATCACAGTGATCACTACGGTGGTCTAACATCATCTTGGTCACACGGGCCCATTTACTGCAGCACAGTCACTGCGAATCTGGTGAAACAACAGATAAAAGTAAAGCCAGATATGGTTGTTGAACTTGAATTTGAGCGGAAGACCGAGATACCCGGCACTGATGGAGTGAGCGTCACGATGATTACCGCAAATCATTGTCCCGGCAGCTCACTTTTCCTCTTCGAGAAGCCCATCGGGAAGGGGAAAAATGCGAGGATACATCGGATCCTTCACTGTGGTGACTTCAGAGCGTCTTCGGCCCACATAAATCATCCCCTCCTCCGGCCAAATATCCAGGATCGTCACACTGGCAAGTTAACGGAACAGAAAATCGATGTCTGTTACTTGGATACGACTTATTTAAACCCTAAATACGCATTCCCATTCCAGCAGGATGTTATCAACGCATGCGCCCAACTATGTGCAGGGGTTAACGAAGGTTATTTTGACACGTTGGGTGCAGGGAAAGGACAAGCGAAGAAGTCAGGGTCCATGGCTCCATTTCTGCAGAGTAACCAGGGCTCGGACCGAAACTCCGCGGTAGACCAACACAATCGCGGTAAACTGCTTGTTGTCATTGGAACGTACAGCATCGGCAAAGAACGAATGTGTCTAGGCGTTGCCCGTGCCTTAAACTCCAAGATATACGTTTCTCCGAACAAGAAACGGATATGCGAGTGCTTGGAGGATGCCGAACTATCCAGCATTCTGACATCCGATCCCCTGGATGCCCAAGTCCACATGCACAGCCTAATGGACATGCGCTCAGAGATTTTGTCTGAGTACCTAAAATCCCTTGGCTCACGTTTTACAAGGATCATCGGCATCCGACCCACCGGTTGGAGCTACCGTCCACGTGGCGGAACACGGACTGACAGCCCTCCCGTCTCCGCGGTTCTATATTCAGAAGCGTGGAAACCTCGCTTCTCCGTTAACGACCTCGTCCCACAACGTGGTAGCACAAATGAGGCTGCATGCTTCAGCGTTCCGTATAGCGAACATAGTTCGTTCCGGGAGCTGACGATGTTCTGCTGTGCCTTACGAATATCGCGTATCATTCCTACAGTGAATGTTGGCAGTCCCAAGAGCCGTGAGAAGATGAAATATTGGATAGATAAGTGGGAAGCAGAAAAGAGGAAAAATGGGCTTTTTGAAATCGAGGCTGGGAGTGATAACAAGTGGTAGCCTATGCCACCGCGTCGTATATTTTTGAGGTATATAACCATGTATAATTTTGTTTTGAAGGGATACCCGGAAGTTATCTATTATTTCCATGCTATTTTTATATATTCTTCGGTTCAATACGTTACGACGTATTTATGTACACGAATTTCAGAAACACTGGGAAAATATGCAGATCATTTTCATCATGATTTTGTGCAAATGGGGACGACTCGATGCTCCCATCTGTTCGCTTTGGTTCCTTAGCCAAGTCGGAATCCACCAGTAACTCTGTTCTGGAAAAATAACGTTGGGTCAACTGCACGCCTGACCGCTAGGGCCTTTTCCCTCGTTGAAGGGGCCACGCGTCCCCAGAAGTCTTGGTTGGCGTTGAGGTCGTTCAGATAGAGGGGGCAATACGCCTTTGGCAGCTTGCCTTCATTGGTGAATCGCTTGATCATTTCACCTTGAACAGTATAATACTTGCGAGTAGCCTCCTCGATTACAGAATCTGACGTCGAGCTGTTCCAAGAGACAGCAATCTGTAATAGCATGTAGTCATAACTCGGGTCAAACCCGGCAATATCCTATTTGGGCAGCCAAGTAAGTATATTTCTCATTCAGCTGGAATGATATCGTAACTTACGCCTCCTGACTCCTTGGCTTTGGTGGAGATAGATCGTGGCAATGGCTGGAGAGCGAGGGAGCTTGCACTACCGGGAATATCGATGAAATCGTCCGTGACATTGTTCCAGTGGTCAATAAAAGACTTGAAGATATCGTAGCCGTGTGTGCCTGATGGGTTGACGCTTGTTTCAGCACCAATGGAGAACCGGTTGCCATGTCGAATATATTCATCATTGGCAAGCATTAGGCTATGGTAACTTTGCTTCTTTACAGTATTTCGAATATTCGGAATCTGGGTGAAATTTCGGAACACGCCCTCAGGAGGAGAAGGCCCATCATAAGTCAGGAACACGACCCAAATTAATGATGGGTTGCGATTGACGGTTCCAATAATCGATGCCTTGTCATCGGTATTGTACTCTGCAAAATCTCGGATCGCTCGGGTCAGGCTTTCGGTGTGATTGCCGTCAAAGAACATACTGCCTCCCCAAATCTATTATGTTTTAGAAAATCTGATATAAATTTGGATTTGGGGGGTTAGGTACCTCTGGGTCTTGAGTATGAGTCTTAACAGTAAAGGCGGTAACAATTCCAAAGTTACCAGAGCCACCTTTCATCACAGCATACAGATCTGGTGATAATTAGAATAGTGGGCACAAGACTCTGTTCGGCCATTGAGTCCTTACCTGGGTTTGAAGTAGCATTTGCATTCACTATTGTGCCATTGGCAAGCACAACTTCAAAGTTGACGACGTTGTTTGTAGCCCAGCCATACTGGCCACTGAGGAAACTAAGACCGCCTACAAATTATTAGTCCCGAGCAATCGGTATTATACATAAG